TGCTATGCCAGTACCTTCCACATGTAGGCACTCATCTTTGAACATCTTGCTCTGCATGTCTTGTAAGGACTGATACACAGACTGTTCATAAAACTACTGTTCATAAAACTACTGCAGAATTTAGGCTTCCCAACATAGGAGAAAAAGACACTTCCATGAAGAGAGGTCCAACTTCATGATACTTACGTTTAGTCAGCAAATTGCTTTGCTACTTGATGCAAACGATGGAGAAGCTGGGCAGACGTGCCTATGAACACAAGAAACAGGGCTGCCTCAGGTCATACAGGGAATAACTCCTTACTAGGAGAAGCCAGGAGGAAAACAGTTCCTTCTAAATGTTTGACTTCAGAGTTGTGTTCTTCGATTGTATTGAATTGACATGGAGATACAACTCATGCCCAAGAAAAGGAATGCTTCTGATGCGTTTTGACATAGCTCTTCTCTGTGAGTGAGACTGGCATGCTCTGTCTAAAGGAGAACACCTCACGTTGGAGGCAGCAGCATTCTGTACTCACAGCAGAAGTTCCCATTCTGTACTGGGAGACAATGAGAACTCATCACACAGCAGAGGCAGCATACGGCATGACATGAAAGAATTAATCAAAAAGCTGTGAGGCAACATGGCTTCAAGCCCATTAAAGGAAGCTGCTTTGAAATTCTTTCTACAAACTCAGGGCGATGGAAAGGAGGTCTGTGCCAATCTGGTTATTGGGCTTGCAACTGCACCTAATCTTCTTAGAAGTACCAAGGTGAATGCTTGGTAGAACAGCACTGACCTAGAACTTCAGCAGCTTCCGTCATGAGGTAGACAGAGGACCTTGCATCCAAAGGCAACGCCATTTTTTCCTTCCAGAAAACAATGTATAAAGGCAGGACTAGTAAACACCTGAGGATTACTGGTGATGTGTCAGATTTGTTTCACTGCCTGTTTATTTCACTCTGACAACTGAAAACCTAATTTCTACAATGCAAAGTTTTACATTTCTTCATGTACATAAAGACCGAATAAAGCTACAAACAGTTAACTTGAGAGACCTCACAGGTGTGTGAAAAAAACACTTTGCTGCACTCATGGCACTTGTCTGGTACAGAATCTAGTACTTACCACTATGATGGCTCCTGCATTAAGTATTGGCTTAGCAGGCTAGCTTCTTGAAAAATAGGGAGAAAAAGAACAATTGTTGACTCAAGGCCCACACAGATGTAGAAGCAGTTACCTTCAACTTGCAGAACAATGGCCACATAAATAAACTCTTCAATGACCTCAGGCTATGGCTGGGACTCCAGTGGAAAGAAGCTTAACAAAATGCTGTGCCAGAGTAAGGATCCAGCAAACACTATATGGGACTGCATAGGAACTTACATCACAGCCTAGAAACACAGATTTTGAACAGTGTGGAATCAAAAGACTAGTTTTACAAGGAGACTTGGGGATTATTTCAGAGTAAGAAACTTAGCCTTAGGGTTAAAGAAGAGCAGTACAGTTTGCCCCAAGCTCCACTTGTACAGGCTGCACAAACCATCAACCCACAGGTCATTTATGAGGAAAGCTATGTGCACCAGAGCAAACTGCTGCCTTCTACTACACTGAAGACTTCAAAAATGAGGGGGTACTGCCTGTGACACCTGAGCAGCCAGACTTATTTTGCTCATTACTGTAAGATGCAGAGATCCTGGGGCTGAAAGCAGAGATCCTGTTCCAGAGATCCTGTTCCAGAAACTCAGGGAAATGGTGCTGGTAGCAGAAGAAAAAAAAAAAAAACCAAAAAGGGAGGTTGCCTGTCATAACCAGTATAACTGAAAGACCTAGAACTACTTAAACAAAGTTTAGGGAGAGAGTCTCCAAGGAAAACCAGCTGCCCCAAAAGGGGGCAAAGGTGAATTTCCAGTGGGAAGACTTTCATCTCTAAAGTACTGAGAAACTCAGCAGTTTGCAGTAGTGGGACACAGGCCAAACAAGCCTGTTATATCTCCATCCACGGACAGAGAGGTTCCTATCAAAGCATGGCTCTGCCACGGCCAAGGCAGACCTGTGATGTAATCTAAATGCTGCTTTGCAAAAGGTGAATTCATTCCATTACACCTTGGGCCAATGTCTGGCAGGTGAGAAAGCCAGCAAATGAAGGTATAAATCTTTCAAGACTTGGGCAAGAGAGACCAAAGAGCAGAAGTCAGGAACATGTCTGAAACCTACTGTAGAACAGCTAGGGAAAGTGTAAAAATTAAATTCTCACTTCACTTTTGTAAAATTGATCACCACCAAATGGTGAGATGGTAATGAGCAATTTCCTGCCTGGGCTGACCAAATAACTGAATAGAAATAGAACTGCATTGTACTGGTCTTCTACCAAGGGCCAGATCCACAGAACAGGTCAGATCCCATAGGAGAAGCAGGAAGGTGTTCAACTGCTCTGTCCACAGCGCTGCAGTACTCGGATAATGTTGTCAATCTCTCCAACACCAGGAAAGAAACATTGGCTGCTCCCTGAAGGTAAGATGACGAGACAAAGTTCCTGATAGGCACAGACACACTCAGATTACCTAAGAGGACAAGGTTGATATGATGCATAAGTTCAGGCTCATGTTCCTCAGGAACACATAGTTGGGTAATTACCTTGCCCTTACACTGACAGGATTTAGATTGCTTTTGAATATCTGCAGCTGACATTGACTACAATGTAACAAAATAAAAGCTGAGCACAACAGATGATGCTACAATCTATAATAGACTCATTGATTGTCATAAACCCAATATACCAAAACATAGTTCTCAACAGCAATTTTCCTAATTCTTTAATGCAGTTCAGTGTCCTGCCATGCAAAGCTTTTCAGAGCTAAGGCCTAAAGGGGCCACTGCACACACATGCACAGTGATTTTTTGATGCCTTCACAAGGCGTTTTCTCTAACACACAGAGAAATCCATGCCAGGAGGAATGATACAACTTGCTGGCCTGAACAGGCCAAACTGAGGGTAAACAGAACTAAATGTTGCTCTGGGAAGTGAAGTTCTCAGGCCAAATCTGCAGACTTGTTAGCTCAGGCTCATACACAACTGGGGATCGGGATCAAACAACTCAAATATGAAACTCAGGTTTCAGCCATTTACCAATTATGAGTAACATTTATATTTGACTTTTCACCACATGTGTTGGATACCACAGAATCATGGAATGGCTTGGGATGGAAAGGATCTTAAAACTCATCTTGTTATACCCCCTGCCATGGGCAGGGACATCTTCCACTAGGCCATGTTGCTTCAAAAGCCCTGTCCAACCTGGCCTTTCACACTTTGAGGGATGGAGCAGCAACAGCTTCTATGGGCACCCTGTGCCAGGGCCTCGCCACTCTCCCATGGAAGTTCTCATTATTCCAATAACCCTGCCCTCTGGCAGTGGGAAGCCATTAGCCCTTGTCCAAAGTCCCTCTCCAGCTCCCTTGGAGTCCGCTGAGGTACTGAAAGGCTGCAGTAAGGTCACCCTGGATGCTTCTCTTCCCCAGGCTGAATAATCCCAACTCCCATAGCCTCCTTTTTTTTCCTTTAATGAATTAGATTCTATTGTTGGAAAATTATCAGACAAAATTAAAGTGCTTTTCTTTTTTTTAACAAAACCTTTATCTTTTCCCTTTGGTGCCCTATAAATAAAGTATCAAATAATGTTTATCCTTTTTAAATCTGCAGTCTTGTTTCATTCTTGCTGAACATTCTTCAAGAAGAAATATACCACAATAATTTCTGCACAGACTGAATTCCTTCAGATTTTGGATATTAAATTCAGATTCCTATTATCCAAGACACAGCCAGCCATGCTGTTTCAGTGTTCATTTCAGAAGAATGATTGGAGTTGTTTTTCCATTGGACAAGTCAGATGCTCAGACAAGTATTCCTAGTCTTCAGGGCTCCTGCGTTCAGGCTGCATTTCGCAGGGATGGGGGCAATGATGGGTGCAGAACAGAGGTAGGACAGCCCCTGAGCTCAATCCTTTCACATTTCAAGATGAACCAAAAGCACAGAATTGGAGCAAGAATATTTATGATTTTATATACCCTTTACATTAATGTTTTTTGGTAAGTACGGGCACTTTCAGGAGCTTCTCCTCGGTGACTTCGCAGAGCCTTCACCAGTGCAGCAGGACCGGCACCCGCCGAAATCCGCGCGGAACCGTCATAAGAGATCAGCGGCGGGATCCTTCCATCCAGATGGGTCCTGGAGCCACTCCCGCCGTTCGGGACCGGCAGGCCTCACCCGCTCCAACCTGGCCCCCAAGCAGACATCGCCAGCTGGTGCCCTCCGCGCAGGCCGCCAGCACCGCGGCGATCGAGCGCCCCGGCTCCGACGACCTCGGCAAAGGCCGGAGGGGGCTATCGCGCCCAGGCCACCTCACCGCGCAGCCGCGGCCCCACCGCAGCCGCGGCCCCACCGCAGCCACTCCCCCGCCCTAGGAGACCGCGGCGCTGAGGCGCTCGGCTGCCGCCTGGACGGAGCCTGAGGGAAAAAGAGGATCCCACACGCCGCACGCACCCACCTCACCGCTCCCACCCGGCTGCGCGCACCCGTCACGCGGCGGCGCAGAGCACACATTGGCAGCGCCGAGGCACTAGCATCACGTGCCTCTTCTTGACCAATAGGGGGCAGCCGCGTGGCTCCTCCCCGCGGGGGCAGTTGCCGTGCCGGGCGCGATCCCAGCGCGGCGGAGACAAAGCAGCACCGCACCGCACCGCACCGCACCGCACCGCACCGCACCGCACCGCACCGCACCGCACCGCACCGCACCGCACCGCACCGCACCGCACCGCACCGCACCGCACCGCACCGCACCGCACCGCACCGCACCGCACCGCACCGCAAGGGGGCGACGGGGCGCGGCATAACGAAGTGCAGCGCAGCGCCGGCTGCTCACCCGGCGGTCACCCGTGACCGGCAGGGGGCGGGGCGGGCTCGAGGCGCGCGCGGCCGCCGGTGCATGCGGCGCGGGCGCAGGCCCAGGCCCGATGGCGGCCACTGCCGCCATGTCCCTGGGTAATTACAGCAGCCTGAACCGGGCCCAGCTTACCTTCGAATACCTGCACACCAACTCGTGAGTACCGGCTGGGGTGGGGTGGGCCCGCGGCATCCGGCCTGCTCGGGACCCCGGCTCAGTGCGATGGGCCCGGCCGAAGCCACGCGGGCCAGTGGGGCTGAGCGGCTGCCTGCCCCCAGTCCGGGCGCTTCGTGGTCCTTCCGGGACCGGCTTTTGTACCGCGGGCAGGTCCGCGGGTCACGGAGAGCCAGTGCGTGGGCACAAGAGGCCCCGGGAGGAACGAGGAGTCACCTTGGGCAACCAAACCCGCACGGTCGGATCTCTGCGGAACAGTGTGTGTGCGCTGTCGTGCCGGCCACCATCCCTCTGTAGCATCTGGCTTTGTGTGTGACTGAGTGTTTTGCAGGTTTATTTTTAACAGGATTATGGTACTCTTTTTCCAGTCAGATTTTTTTGCATGTCGCCAGTGAATCTCCCAAAATAACACCTCTTGAGAAGAGGCAAAGCCATTATTTACCATGAGTTTCTTGTGGGTGCATGTCTAGAAAATGAGGAGCACCATCAGGGAGCAGCATTTAAGTGGGGTCAGGCACCCATCAACACTTCCTGCTGCTCCTGAGCTTTTTAATGGCATGTATACAGGAGATGGAAGAGCTCGTTCTGCCCGAATTGGAAGAACTCTGTGGAACCACTTGGTATTGCTTCATTCTGATCAGCTGGTCACCGGCGAAGATTGTCTGCTGATGTTCTGTGGAAGAGTTGACTTACTGTCCATCAATAGAAGAATAAATAAAGTGCAGGCTTATCTTTTTGTTTCCCTTTTCAGCATGTGAAGGATCAGTGGTCTACAGCAGTCCAAAGAAGGCACAGAAACATGGGCAACTTTGTTTCAAAGGATTTTTGTCTGGTTTGTTTTGTTGGTAGTGAGATACATCTACAAGAGCAGTTAAAACTAATCTCACATATGCCAAGACCATTACAGTCCATTCATTTTCAGAATCAGGAAAGTAATGGGCTTTGAACAGGGAAATAAACCTAGTAATGGCTCCATGTCACATTTGGGTCTGCTCTTTAGCTTAGCTGGTGGCAGTTGCATATGGAGTGAACAATCTGGTGCCTGAAGATGGACAATACTGAGTCATGTTGTGGTGCTGTTGTTGATTTGTGAAATTCTCATGTCCAGCTCCAGAAGACAATCTTTTCTTTTGTGGATAAGAAGACTGTGCAGATGATGGCAATGTTCTTTCAGCAGCTTGTGTTTGCCTGCAAAGCTCCAGAACTCTGTCCATCTTCATAAGAAGATAAAGCCTGTGCTAAAGACTGAGTTGTTCCTGCTGCTGTCAAGTATATTAAATGTACTTCACGTTGCCATTGTGCTTACGCTACTGTCTGCTTGTGGTGGGCTGCATGTCTGCAGTGATACCTTCATTACCAAATTCTTGGAAAGAACTGGAAGCCAATGCTTGGATAAGCCAAAGCCAGAGCTCCTTGTCCATCGTGAGCAAAGAGCCTTTTGAGGTTATGGGAATCAGTGCCTAAGTAAAATGCTTCCCTAAGAATAGCAATAGGAGTAATAGAAGTCATTATAAAATCAAAGAAAGCAGCAAACTGACCCATAACGAACAACCTCTCCTGCTCCTCCAGAAAAAAAAATGAGCAAAAAAGAAAACAAGCTAATCCCCAAATCAACCCTAGGCCAGTATAGAGATTTTGATAGAGGAGACTGGTCTCCTCTGGACTGCACTCTTGCTGAGGAACACCATCCCATCTTAGATAAGTTCTAGTTCAGTGCTAAGTGTATTCTCATAATCAAGGAGGTGGAAATTTTTAAAATTCTTTAAATTGCACTGAAAGACCAACCATCTGGCTGCTAGGGTGCAGAAGAATGCTTTTTAATTTTTTTTTTTTTTCTCCTTCCCTTTTAAGACCTTCTTTCAGAAAAGTTTCCATGTGTCTGACTCAGAGCACTCAGTTTGAAGTGATTTACAGGAGACAGTTGATCAGGTCCCTGAGCTTGAGGAACTGCAGCAGATCTTTCCAATAGCAGCTTAATGCTTACATGTCTGATGGGACATGGAGTTGAGCCTCCAGCATCTACATGAATAGATTCAGTTGCCATATTTTTTAAAAGAAAAATTGTCACTGTGCTTTTCCAACTTACTCGATGAATAGTTGAGTGAAGACAGACCTTTTAATAAGTTCTAAAGTGGTGAGACAGAGGGCAATGGCTTTAACCTAAGAGTGTAGAGTCACACTAGATAGAAGGAAGATGTTCTTCCCTGTGTGGGTGGGGAGGCCCTGGAACAGGGTGCCCAGAGAAGCTGTGGCTGCCCCATCCCTCAAAATGTCCAAGACGAGGTTGGATGGGGCTTGGAGCTACTTGGCCTAGTAGAAGGTGTTCCTGCCCATGGCTGGAAGTTGGACTAGATGACCTTTAAAAGTCTTTTTCAACCCATATGTTTCTACGTTAAAATTCTTTTAAATCCTAGAATGAAAATCAGTGTGCATAAGCACATGAAAATTGCATGTGCATTGTTTTATGACTTTCCAGTGTCACCTGCTTGCCCTTGCATTGGTTTTCCTTAACAATTAAATGCTTACATTAAGACAATTCCAAAGTTATTAATTGAGATGATGCCATAAATATAACAGAGACCAGACAATTTATATTTGCATATTTTGAATATTTATAATAAAAAGTTGAATTATTTTGTTAAAAGTTGAGGACCTGTAATTGTCTTCTAGCAGTAGGTAGCCTTTAGTTTGCAACTTGTGTGTTGTTGTGTAACTAGAATTGTTCTGGTAAATACAGTTGGAGTCGAAGAAAGTCACTCGAATAGACTTCAAGATGACTAAATGATAGACTTGAGGAAAACTAGTAATAACAGACCAACAATATTTCCCTACCCCCCCCCTCCACCAAATTCCCTCTTCTTCTTGTGCTTTTTGTCTATTTTGGCTTGAAACAGAGTTCATTGTTTAGAGAATGTCTGTTTTTCCTGATGCATGTGCCAAAATAAAGCATTTTCCCAGATGTGCTCTCCTTCAGAAGAAAAGTGAAGTCTTAAGTCTCTCATTAGTAATTAGGTACTTGTCTGCAGGATCTGGAGTTCACCTAGGTTCAAGCCGGAGGTTCCTGTAGGAACAAAACAAGTTTTTCTTCCCTTTTACATTACTCCAAATGATTCTTTATAGAGGTGTTTGAAGTTAGTAATGTATTAGAGCCATCTAACTCGACCTTTTGTCACCTATGTTTCAATAAATTGCCAATGTTGGACTCCCCTTTTAGATTCCTTATCAAGCCTCCAGTTCTGCATGGAGCTGGCTCAAATGGAAGTGCACATTGTGGGATGATCCAGACCAGTCTTTGTCTACCCAGATGAGCTGTTGTTGACACTATGGATTTTGATACTACTTTCCTCCCTTCTATATGTTGTTTCACCCATTGTATGGCAGTAATAGTTGTATTTTGGGTACTCTGATGCAGGTTGTGGTTGCCTCTGATGATGCCTATCTAAAATAAGCTCACTGTGTTTGCAGGTTGCTAGCAAGCTCTGATAGGCTTTATTTTGCCAACAGTTTGTCTTGTTTTTTTTGAAGTTGTGCTGCAAGTAAAATAATCCTAAACTTTTTTGAAGAGATGTGAGAAATGGTCACTGGTCGATTATGATGGATGTGGAATATTTCACTTTTGACTGTAAGGCAAGACCAATGGGTTTGTTTGAGATTAGCTGATTAAATCAGGCCAAAGCACTTCATCTGACTTAAGTTAGATATTGACAAGTGTGTTCAAATTCATAAATTGAATAGAAGACTTTTATAGTATATATTCATTTCTGTTAGTGATAAATAGCTGGAGTGATTTTTCATTGGCTTGTAGCAAGGTTTCCCTTTGCTCATGTCTGCACAAGAGGTTACAGTTTTGGGAGATGGTCAAGTTCAGTAGTGTCAGGCTATGTGGAGATGTTTTGTTTTGCCTTTCTTGTCATCTATAGCTGTGCTATCAATTGTTTCATTCCAGCATCTTTCTTTGGAAATCCTTATTTGTATCTTATTTGCATCTTTTCTTTGAAGTATTCCTAAAATTGTGGAGTAAAAAGTGCTCTTTAAGCATTGATACTAGTGCTAAAGCATGCATTTGCTTATGGGCTACTTCCTAAATATACTTCGGTGATGTTGACCTGTGGAGCTGAATAGACACTTGTAAACTCAAGAGAACACTTGAAATCTGTAATCATCTTACATATCTGCTCACTCACCTCCCCAGTGGAATGGGGAGGTGAATAGTACAAGGCTAAAACCATGGGCTGAGATAAGAACATTTCAAATATTGGAGGGAAGAAACATATGATAATAATAGGAAAAAGTGAGAGAGGAATAAACCCCAGAAGTCAAGTGATGCTCAATACAATTGCTCAGCACCCACTGTCCCATGCTCTACCTGTCCCCCAAGAGTGATTGGCGTCTCTTGGCCAGCTCCCCTGGTTTGTAGACTGAGCAGAAGATTCTGTGGTATGGAATATTCCTCTGGCTGATTTGGGTCAGCTGCCCTTACTATGCTCCCCTCCAGCTTCTTGTGTGGCTGACTAGTGCAGGACACTGAAAAGCCCTTGACTTAGGGTATGCTTGGCTTGGTACCAGACATCAGTGTGTTATCAACATTATACTCGCACTAAATCCAAAACACAACTCTTAACACCTACTGAGAAGAAGATTAGCTCTATCCCTGCTGAAGCCAGGTCAGCAGGAAATCGTGTTCAAAGGAAGGAATACCAAGATTGTGTTTTTATGGAAGCTTTCTGATTGGGTAGATAGTCTTCCAAACACTGTTCCCATTGGTCTTGTCTCTGCAGGAGAGTGGAGATACGGAAATCTCTGTTCCCATGGTTTTAGTGATAATTTTAAAGCCTCATGTGTTTTCCTCTGACTGGAGCTGTGTTGATGGGTTCAGTGTGATCACCCTGAAGATGGCTATGAAAGCGTGTTTTGTGGTTATTAACAGTGTGGACAGCTATATATTTTATGTGTGGGAAGTACCTGTGTGTCTGTTCTTGGAAGGCTGAAAATATGAAGAAATATCTTCTTGGTCACCTGTTGGCTGTATGTGAGGGTTTTGTGCAAACTGAAACATGCTAATCAAACTGGTTTCTGAGGTCTTAGTCTCTTCATTGAACAACCTGGAGGAGTAACAAATTCCATCAGCTGTTTCTCCACATCTTTGCTGTTAAACTTATGGTGAATGTGGTTCATCTATGTTTAAAAAAATGTTAGATTTGAAGTTAAGTTGCCAGCTTGGGCATGAAGTGGAGATATGGCATTTATGTCAACAGACAATGTATTATAATGATTTTTATTAGCTGCCTGAGTTTTTCTCACCATCTGTTTCAATGCTGAGGCATATAACTAATGGCTTCCAAATGGGAGCTGCTTAAAAGAGGTGGCAGTTAAAGAGGCTGGAAACTAAACATATCTCTTGAGATTGTGCTGAAGTGGTAGCTGGGTTCATTATTTTAGTGTTAATTTGGCAAGGTGGTGTGGTACTGTGGTGTTAGAAGACTTTCTCTGGATTAGCAGCAGTTGCATCTGCTGGATGTTAGCCAGGATCTGGAAGCATTTTTCTGTCACAAATAACTTCTGCAGTGGGACTGGGTGCGTGGGGGAGACTCACCTTGTTCATAACGTTGTTCATGTCTTGTTGCCCAGAGCGGCTGTGGCTACCACATCCCTGGAAGTGTTCAAGGCCAGGTTGGACAGGGCTTGGAGCAAGGTGTCCCTACCCATGGCAGGAGGATTGGAATGAAATTAGCTTTAAGGTCCCTTCCAACTCAAACTGTTCTATGATTCTATGATAATCCTCATCTGGCTATATTTCCTTATAGGCAGTATTTAGTTGCTGTGAAAAGACCTGTCGTTGTGCGCTATAAGGACTTCTTTGAGCTGTTGACTGGGTCATAGGCTGGTTTATTGGATCATCATGTGTTCTCTATCATGTCTCTATCATATCACATATTTTAGACCATAGTGAGCTGCAATTTGGGGCACACTGGCTGCTGCATGGCTGCCTCTGGCAGACAGGAAATCACTCGTTCCTAGTCTGCTGTCAGCCAGACCGTAGTGTTGTACCTATTTGACTGGATTTGTTTAAACTGTAGTTGAGATTCTCATTTATTTAAAGGTCTCTCTTTTTTTAAGTGTTGGTGTAACTCTGCTGATTTCTGTTTCATTGCAGAACTACCCATGAGTTCTTGTTTGGTGCCCTTGCTGAACTTGTAGATAATGCCAGGTATGTACCTGAGACTGCCTAATTCCCAAGGTAACTTTGGTTAAGATTTAATTCACCTATGTATTAGTTGATCTTAAGCAATTTTCACTTCTAGTAGATTTTACAAGAAAATGGAATTTTAATTTAATATAAGTATTTCACTTGCTCGTCTTACATTGCCATATCAGCTCCCTAAAAGAAAATTATTATTCCTGGAAAGACAGGTTTGAATGAATCCTGGAGCAACTCATATTGGAAAGGAAATTGATAGCAGACACAAGAGAGATTTAAAGAAAAAACTAGTCTGCCTTTTTGTGTAAAGAAATTGCTAAAATAAATATTACAGGAGCTGTGACTCATCTGATATATAAAAAATGATAGTATCAAACATGACAATGAAAATGAAATCAGAAGCGGGAAGCTGAAAAATAGAGCAAGAAATGCTAAAGGAATTTTGACACTTCAGGAGATTTGGTCTTTGGAAATTGCAGCTGTTGGGCCACCTGTCTCATCTGTGTGTGGAGGGAATCCCTGCTACAGAAGCCTCCCAAGCCTTGCGTGCTTTTGTCTTGAGCTAGAGGAAGTACTGTCATGAAGCACAATGGAAGTATTTTGGGATTGTTTTCTCTCAAAGGTGATTTGTCACAGTGTGCATTTTGTGATGTAACAAGCTGAAACTGGGACATTTTTGAGTTGGAAAGCTTCTGTTTAGGGAATCAGCTCTGTGTGTGTGTGTGTGTGTGTGCGTGCGTGTGCACGCGCATGCGAGCTGGTGCTGTGTTCATGGTTGCAACAAGGTAAGAAAAAGTAGGGTCTTTGGGGGTGGTTTTTCCTTCCCTCGGTTCCCCTCTGGCTATAGAGAGGTTGTCTTCTGGGAAGAAGTAGCTAGGCTGGGCTGGAGATACAAAAGTGAAACAAAGTGGCTGTGGCATTTGTCAAGTGGGGTTTTGTTACCGCTCTATAATTCCACGCCTCTAGTCAGCAAACCGAGGTTGGTTTGGGAAGAGGGCAGTAGTGCTGTACATGCTGTACTTTCAAATACAGAGGAGGATGCAGTGTGTGAAGGGCCTCACTTCAGTGATCTTGTAATGACAGTTTCCTGTAACAATCCTGAATGTATTGGAATGAAGCTTTATATGGAGTTACTAAACCTTTTGTAGGCAGCTCAACAAAAAAAATATAGGTGATGTTTGTTTTGTATAGGAGGGAGCTCAGAAATGTATACTCATTTGATTTCCAGCCCCAGAATGACTTTTGTTAGAATGCCAGTGATACTTCCTGTCACCAGAACTGTTTGTGTGCTAGCAATGTCTTATGCTGGAGTTTAGGTTCAAATAGACAGTGTTTTCTGTCACTCATGACTGTGGGGCCTCTGTGGACTTTGATCTATACAGCCAGTTATTTTGAAAAAGCTTGTGTATGCCTGGATTTTTAGCTTCGTTTCTGTTTAATGTTTGGATATCAATTGTGGTTCTATTTCTTTGTAGAGATGCAGATGCCACGAGAATAGACATTTATACTGGTAAGTCACTCATGCTGCTTCCTTGCATGTCAGCAATTAAGTCAGTAGTTAACTTGGATTTAGGCTGCAAATGTATGTTGTCCTTGATTGAATAAGAGCGAGAGTCTTATGCCCAATCCTGGGGTCAGTACTGGGCCCCTCAAGACAAGAAAGATATTGAGGGGCTGGAACATGTCCAGAGAAGGGTAAGGGGGCTGAAGCACAAGTCTGATGAGAAGTGGCTAAGGAAGCTGGGGAGCTCACCCTGGAGAAAAGGAGATTTGTGGGGGGCCTTCTTGCTCCTTCAGCTCCCTGACAGGACAGTGCTGCCAGGTACAGGTTGGGCTCTTTCTCCCAGGTAACAAGTGACAGGAACAAGAGAAAACAGCCACAAATTGTGCCAGGAGAAGTTTAGATTGGATATTAGGGAAAATTTCTTTACTGAAAGTGTAGTCAGACACTGGAACAGGCTGTCCAGGGTAGTGGGGGAGTCACTATCTATCCATATTTAAAAAATGTGTAGATCTGGTGTTTAGGGGCATGGTTTAGTGAACTCAACTGTGTTAGATTTGTGGTTGGACTTGATGATCTTAAGGGTCTTTTCCAACCTGAATAATTCTATTGTTCTACCATTTCTTCTGTGCCATAGTCCCTGTTGCCTTGCAAAAAGGAATAACTTTACAAATATCTTGGGGAAGCAATTAAGTCAGCCTTCACCAGGGGTCAGGTGAAGTGAGTTGCTCTATGTAGTGAATGCTAAAAAACTCACTGACACAATACAGTTTTGTAGCTCAGTTTTGTAGTGAAGAAGTTCTTAGTCATTCTGTAACAAAAATCTGGTGCTCTTTCTTGCAGCTTAGCCATATTGCAGGTTTAAAAGTCCTATTTGTTGTGTTACTTTTGTTGTTAACACTGATCCCATTTTATGGAACTTTTAACTTCTGCTTATGGGAGCAGTGAGTAACTCTTCTCTTGCAGAGCAACGAGAGGACCTACGAGGTGGATTCATGCTATGTTTTTTGGATGATGGAACAGGAATGGATTCAAGTAAGTGACAGAAAGTTACACCTGCATTTGCAAGCTGAAGTTTCATGTTATGGTTTAAGTTGAATTAACAGCTTAGTTCCATTGAAAAGGACATGTTCCATGCGTCTATACATGTTTCTGCCTCTCTACTTGCTCTTTCACACCATATTACATATCAAACCATTTACCTCTTCCATTGCAGAAAACAAATTAGTCAAAAGAAAATTGTTTTGCTGCATTATAGAGTTGGGTCAGCCTGGCTTGAAGTTTATCAGTACACTGAAGTTGGCCTTGGGGCTGAAGGGAGAATAGTGGAGCAAGAAGGGGCACAAGCACAAGGTTTGCTGGCATAAGGTTTTTCTCCATCTGGCTGCCAGATGATCAGTGTATCTCAGCTCTAACCAGAAGGTGTGCCATGGCAGAAATTAAGGTTCTGCTTTGAAAACAGTTTGCCGTTGTTTCATCATGGATGTTGTGTTGGAGATCAATACTGGACAATATAAAACCTTAGTAATATGATAATATAGCAAATGTATTTCTGCCTTGTAAGAATTGCTGTAAATTGATGTTGTATCTAGCAGGAGAAAGCTAAAAGCTTTTCTGCTCTACTTTAGCATCAATGAACAGCACTGTCAACCTACCTTTGAGTCTTGAGGACTGGTAAGTCATCCTGTGAGGAGTTCCATACAGGGCAGCAAAATTGGGTGAAACTGGGAGGTGAATATGGAGAAGACAAAGGAAATGTAATAAGCAACAACTAACATTTTTGCACTGATTCCTCAGTACTTTAAGTTCCTCTTGTGATATTTTCATAGTTCAATCCCAGCTGGCAACTCAGTCCTACACAGCGGCTTACTCCAGCTCCACTGGGATGGTGGAGAGAATCAGAAGGGTAAAATGTGAAACCTTAATGGGTTGAAATAAAGACAGTTCAGTAGGGAAAACAAAAGTTGTGCACGCAAGCACAGCAAACCAAGGAATTCATTCGCTACTTACTGTGGGCAGGCAATTGTTCAGCCACCCCCAGGAGAGCAGGCCTCCATCATGTAAAACAGTGACTTGAGAAGACAAATGCTGCAAGGTCACACATGCCTCTCTTCCTCCTACTTCTCCAGCTTTATCTGGTGAGCGCTACACCAAGATGCATGAAGCTTGGAGCAACCTGGTCTAGTGGAAGGTGTCCTTGCCCATGGCAGGGAGTGGAACCAGATGGTCTTCAAGGCCCATTCTAATCCAAACCATTCTGGGATTTTATGATACTGTCTGGAATCCCTTGGGTCAGTTGGGATCAGCCATCCCAGACTTGTCCCCTCCCAAGTCCTTGTGCAACCCAGCCTGCTTGCTGGTGGTGCAGTTTGAGAAGCAGAAAGGACCTTGATGCTGTGTAAGCTGTGTTCAGCACTAATGAAAACCATGTATTACCAACACTTCTCTAAAATACAGCCCCATGCAAGTTAGCATGGAGAGATTGAACTCTATCCCAGCCCAAACACATATAGATACAAAGCATTTCATTCAATTTAATTTGTGCTCTGATACACAGATTTGTGACTTCCATAAAGGAATTTGGTTTGAACTCTAGGTACCTTCTGTATATTCTTTGGAATATGATTAAGGATGCTAAACGTGTCACCCAAGAGTACTTTTCTGCCATCAGTTTAGCTGAAGGAAACACTAAAGCCCCATCCATAAAAAAAAATCTGAGGTTGAAGTGTGGCCTTCTGATAGTTCTTAGGATCAGGGAGAGGAAAATAGGACCTTCTCTGCCTGTGTGTTTCTCTGGAAGGTGCCAGATGTCTGTTCTAATGCCACAGAATTTTATGGCAGCTTTTATACAATTATTGCTTCTGTAGTGCTGGTTTTGTGACAAAATGGGATTTAAATAATGGCTATTGTCTTGGTTTAAGACAATTTAAGGGGGATGCTCTGAAATGAGTTATATCCCCTTAGTTTTAACCAATCCCTTCCCACAGGAATTAAATGTGTAAAAATAAGTGGAAAAATAACAGTTTACTAACAAGCAAAACAGCAACAGGCACAAACTAACAGTAAATAATCGCTAGATACAAAATTGCTAAATGTCATGGACTCCCTGGGAGCCAAGAGAAACTCAAAATGGCAGTGACACCTTTCCCCGAGGTGACGCTTGCCGTGGGCAATTGTGTGTGGGGAGACAAAGGGAGGGCAGCCCTCCCTCTTACCTCTCTGGTGGCAGCAGCTCCATCGATGTTTGCGACTGACATGCTCTGGCTGCTGGTACTTGGTCAAGGACTAGAACCTCTGGAAGGACTTCACCTTCATCTTGGCGGAGGATGGCAGGGCAGCCAGCTAAAGTGGCTCAGACTCTGTGACTCCTTGTGTCAGCTGGCTGCTGCTGGCAGCTGCAGCAGCTGCAGGGACTGGGGCCTTTTCACTCATCCTAGCACCTTGCTACAGCTGCAGACAGATGTTGCAAAATTCAGTCTGAAACAGTTTTTGATTATGACATGCACGGTCCCATTTTGTAGCAACAGTTGCTACTGTTGTGAGCACAGAAAACCTACCTGAAACAACCCCCTCTGGAGGTCAGAGAGGAACAGAGGAAAAAAAACCCCAAAGCAGAGCCTCTGCCTTGAGCAAAAGCTATGAGGGGAGAGACGAAGGTCTGCCCAAATGCCTTGACTTGAAAGAGCTTGACACTCGCCTGCTCCCATCCCTGTGGTTCTGATTCTGGCCACACCACTGGGTCTTAAAGTGACTTTCAATTTTGAGCACAGATGGATATGAAATACAATAATATTTGGGTTACTTAGGACAGCTATTAATTGGCTTCTTTTTGACTAATCTTTCAGCTGAATGTTGAAGAATTTTATCCTGATGGCCTGAAATGCTTAGTGAAGAAGATGGGCAGATACTGTGCCTTGCAGGGATGTTTCACAGTGCTATGCATTGTGTATAGAAAATACCATGTAATTCAGGTCCTTTGACTGTCTTGATTCTGGACCAAGGGCAGCCAGGTGGAAGCTCTGTGTGCTGCACCATTTGCCTGTCAGCATGGACAGAAGCAGCTAAGGAGAGTCTTTCATTCAAACTCACTGCATGGAACCAGGGGCTCTCTGGTTCCATCCCTAGCTGTAGGGATATGAGCTTTAATTTCTCATAATGCAGGGTTTACCAGTTTTAAAGATATCCTGAAGATCTCCTATCTGACTTTAAAAGATGTCAGCAGAAAACTTTTTATTGGACTTTTCTCCCTCAATACAGACTTTGCTTCAACAGAAATCATGGATCTTGGGAGTGTTTTATTTTTGTGCATGATAACTTCAATTAAAATTATTTTTTTTGTACATAAAGCTGACATGTTAAAAAGAATACTTCCATGACTTGCTATATGCTGTTGTAGCCCATGCTAGCATGGGATCTTCCCAAGTCAACTGAAAGGATGGCTTGGAAGACTGGATGGGGCACCATCTGGGGATGATGAGTGAGTAAACCCAGTTGCGTCTGGGCACTTCTAAATGGAGGGAAGAGCTGAAGGGCTCAAGTTAACTGTTCCAGTAACAGTTTGTGTTAGTCCGTCTTGTTGCTGTTCTCTTTGGTCTTGTTCTCTCTTGGGCAATTCTAGATTTGTCTGGCAGGCTCTGAAAATGGAGGGGTATAGTGAGGCAGTTGGTCAGATTTGAGTGCTCTGTCTGATGGCTTCTGATTAGCAAGCCAAATGACAACTCCTCATTTCTAAAAATTAGGGATGTTTGTCAAGTGATTCCTGCTGCAGTTGCATTCAGTACTCACTGCATTGGCTCTCTTAATGATCACTCTGGGTTGTGTGGTCTCAAGATCAAAAAACATTTGTACTCAAGCTGGAAACATCTCACATTGTAGTCATGAGTTATCATAAGGTCCAAAGATTCAGTGATGTTACAGGACAGCTCTTTTCAAAGGAACCATCATGTCCTGCAGAGGGGTATCAAAATTATAGAATCTTCTGAGTTGGAAGGGTGGGATTTTGGGGTGTCCTGTGCCTAAGAGCGTTGTCCAAATGCTCCTGGGGCTCTGTCAGGCTTGAGACCATGACCACTGCCCTGAGGAGTGTGTTCCAGTGCCTGATCACCCTTTTGGTGAAGAACCTTTTTCTAATTTCCAATATTAATAAATATATTATTATCCAGTAAGTACCCTCTGCCCCCAACACAGAATAATAGTACTGGTCCAAAACTTTGGCTCTTTTGTAAGGAACTACATAGGAGTCCATAGAAAACCAAACAATAGATTTCATGCAGCACATCACATTTCTCATACTATCAGTGAAATCACTACTTAGGCTTGAAATTTTATCTAATGCCTGGCTCTGAAAGTGCTGCATGAATTTAAAGAATCAAAATACAGGTTGAATGATTCAATGAATCAACTTGTAGGTTGAGAAAGTATAACAACCAGTTTAGGAAGTGACTAGTTTTATTCTTAAGCAATTGAAGAAAATAAGTCTCTAACTGGCATTTTCATCACAGAAGTGCTCAGGTTGGAAAGTACCTCAAAGATAATTTGTTCCAGCCTTTCATGGGCAAGGGAATAGATGATTTAGCACCCTGTCTCTCCAGTGATGGGGGACTCCACCACACACCTGGGGAGGTTGTTCTTGTGATTGATTAAATGACTGACTGATCTCAAAAAGAATTTTGTACTTATTTTAAGAAGAAACCTCTCCCAATGCAACATGTATCTCTTGCCTCTTTTTCATGTGGCTCCTAGGGAAGGGTAGCCTTTGTAGCTTTCAAGTACTGTAGTATTATGATGAGATTCCCCCTGGGCCCTCTCATCTCAAGGAAGGAGGCCTAGTTCTTCTCATAGGGCAGTTTCTGCAGCCCTTTGATCATCTCCTTTGCACCCTGTTCAGGCTGTCTGCATCTTTCCTGAATTGAGGAGACAGAACTGGGCACAGAACAACAGGTGGGGCCTGACAAACACAAAGCTAAGTGGACTAATCACATTTCCATCTCTTTGGCAATATCCCCTGGATACAGTCCAGGATCCTTTTTGCCTCAATTGCTGTTGTGAGACACTGCTGGGTCATACTCAGCTTGTTGTCCACCAGGACCCTTCCAGCAAGGCTGTTCCTCCCAACCTGCAGGTTCCAGTCTGTGCTGGGCTCTTAGGTTATTTAATCCCGGGTGCAGGACTTCACAGTTCCCTTGAACCTCAGACACAATCTTGCTTGCCCACTATTTCAGCCAGTCGAGGTGTTTACCCCCATCAATGAAGCTGGTGAGAATTCAAAAGCACCCCACTGTCAATATCCTGTATGGAGATGTTGAGCAATATGGGGCACAGCGTCAGTCCCTGGGGTCTCTGCTTGTGACAGTCTGTCAGCTGGAGTGAAAACCATTGATGATCACTTCTGAGCATGACCCATGAGCTAGTTCCCTACTTGTTTTGTATACCACTTGCCTGGTCTGTGTCTCCCCAGTTTGTCCAGGAACAGGCTATGTTGAACTGTGTCCAACACTTTGTTGAAGTCCAGCCAAACAACACCCACTACTGTCTCCATATGGACAGGAAGTGCTGCCTTGTAGAAGGTGACCAAATCAGTCAGGTGTTACTTGCCTTTGTAAATCTCTGCAGACTTAGCCCGGTTACCTGCCTTGTCTGGCTTCTAATACTTTTTAAGAGGGCTTGTTCTGTTGCTTTTTGGGAGATTGAAGCAAATATATCAAGTCTTGCTTTTTTTCAACAGTGTTTTTGAAGTTTGGAAGCTCAAAGCAGCTTTTGTTTTAATGGAAGCAGTTAATTAAGTAGTAGTGTTTTGGTTGCATTATTAGTATTTTAGTATATAGTATTTCCTATTTAGTATTTTAGTAGTTGCTTTATTTTTATTTAAAAAATACTGTTTATCCAAGGCTCACAATGGTGAGGAACTGGAACTCCAACTCCTACTTTAGAGTGTGTACACACTTGTGTGCGTAGACAGTGACCCTTGGGGGCCACTTTCAGGGGAGCAGTCTACACAATTCTCAGGAGAAAATGTCTCTTTAACCTTGTTTAAGGTTAAATCTTTAACCTAAACATTGATGTTTCCTATAAAGTTAACAGATTTTTCAAACAAATTACAGGAACATATATCAAAGCGATTTGTCAGTCACTGTCTGTTTCCAGTCATTGCCCCATGTGGGGTTGGTGTCCTGTGTTTGTTACAGTCACAAAGGACCTCACAGCTTTTCCCTTGTTCCCCTATCCTCAGGAAAGTTCAACTTGACTTTAGGCTAATTTCCCCCAGGTCATGAATTAAATCCTGCCATCTTGACGATCTCGAGTGAATTTCTTCAGCTTGTTTTTTCTCTTCTTCGTTTTGCATAGATCTCCCTTCTCTATTTTTCTTGCTGGGGAGTTGGGCTTTTTGAAATCCAGTAACTCTGAGGCACAACAAAACAAAAATAGTGTGACAAAAATAGCTTTAAGTAGAAACACCCTCCAGAGCCTATAAAGAGCTGGGGAAAAAAAAAATTGTGTCTTGATTCTTGGGAGGATATAAATATTAAATCTCTCCTAAAGACAGCTTGGAGAGAGGTGCTAGCTCACATTCCCCTCTGCTCAGTATCACCTTCATCCCTCTGACCTTAAAGAGGAGTCATAATAGGGTGGTTTCAGACATCCAACATTGAGTGGTAAACCATCTGGTCACCTTTCCTGAGAGGGGAAGTGCTTTGGATAATTACTCTTTACCCTCTTTAGGCTTTCTAAAAGTTTCTTAAAAATAGTTACTGAAAAATGTTTGTGGAGCAAAAAGATTCCAATAGTCCTTCTCTTTTTAATATCCTGTATCTACTTTCCTTACCAGGCTTTAAAAATAACACAGTAACAGTAGTTAGAGTAATAATAATTGGATGATAATGGTGATGATCATCATCATCACCACCATCCTTAGCCAGATCTCAAATACAAGACATTCGAGTGTTTTCTTTGTTTGGCTAGAAAATATTACAGTAGGCTGAAGAGAAGGTAGAGGTACCCTTATCCAGTCCAAAGCTGTTTCTGGAATAGCTGTGGAGTTCCATTGAGAACAACTGCAGTTTAGGCAGCAAGGTGTTTGCACAGTTGTTCTCCTGTATTTGTATCTTTAAGTTTCAACTGAAAATGGTGTTCTGACACCAGCTCAGCGATGTCATGTCAGACCAATGGTGTTAGTACTGAATATTTTAATGTAAAACTGGTCAATGCTGATAGGCCTGTGTGTCTCCTGCATGCTGAAATCTAGCTTGTCCATGGGCTCAGCCTCCCCATAGTTGCCTGGTGGGGTGAGTGATGTCTTGTGCTCCCTTATAGCTTGTGTGTATGCATTTGTTTTTAGCCCTCACAGTAAGGCACTTTGTGTTCCTTGTCTCTGGAATTAAACTTTATTTCTCCCAGTAAACTCTGGTGAAATTATTATTATCTCTTGGGGGAAGGGAAAGGAATTTGTCCTAGGGATGACTTTTAACAAAAGTCTTTATCTCTTGAACAATAGAAAGGCTGGAACTAAAAATGACAGACCCTCTGAGCTGTAAAGCCATTGTGTCCTTTCATTTTGTCCTGTGCTAATGAAATCCTATGCTAGTTGCTGTAGGACCTGCTTGTGTTGACTTTCTCCCCAGCTGTCCTGCTGCCAGGGGTCCAGCAATCTGCTGCCAAAGTTAGCTTGTGTCCTACTAGTGCTTTAATTAACCAGACTGTTAAGTTCAGCACTGTGAAGAAATAGCAGTGTTTATTCTGGATTTCTGACCTTTTTAATAGTCCTGACATGTGCTCTAGTGCCAGTGCTCTCAAGTGTGTGGTGTCAGTGGGACCTGGGATACAACAGACCCACTGCATCCTAGGGTCTTAATTTATAAGAATTGACAACTGTGATGGACACAATAGATTATTTTTGTGGATTTTTTTTTTTTTCAAAAAGAAATGTCTTCATGCAGTTCAGATGGGACAGTGAACTAGACTGAAACCTAAAACTCTTTCTGTCAGCATCATGGCACCTGTACAGATCTTCTGGTAACATCAGTGCCCTCAAGCAGTATGTGTCTCACAGGGCTCTGTGGTACAGCTCCAGGATGCAGCTTCACCTTGCGCTTCTGGCCTCTTTTCTGGCCTATTTCCAGTGGTGAAGAAGTTAACTCCCTTCTTTATCTAAAAGATGTGTCTGTGTGTGTCTGTACACTGAAATAAGCCTTTTCTGTTCCTCTGTTTCTTGTTGCAGATGAAGCTGCCAGTGTTATCCAGTTTGGTAAATCAGCCAAGCGATCACCTGAGTCCACTCAAATCGGGCAGTATGGAAACGGCTTGAAATCGTAGGTACAACAAGAGCCAGCCTCCTGAGGTTGGGGAGGTCATAGTCCAGATGATCAATGTACTTTTTGCTCAGAGGTGTATAGCTTTCTTCACAGAAAAAAACCCCAAAAAACAGATGAACTCTAAGATCCCCTGCTTTGGTAGACAGGAGCTCTCTCAACATCTGCTGTAGTTCTCCAGTGGCCAAGAAGGCTCTGTACAACTGACAGCAGTGATTTGGGACTATGTTTGCACAAGGCAGAGGGTACAGGTAAGAGCTTGGGGAAAATAACAGAAGAGCTGGAAACAAAATGGTCATCTCCCTGTTACAGTCAGGCAGCAAAATAGTGCTTCAGCCTCCCAACAGGAAAGTTATCTGGTGCAAGGCAGATGGACTTAAACCATTTCTTTTTGTTCTCAAACCGAACAAATGCAGGGAGAAGGGGAATGATGGAAGCAATGAAAGGAGGGGTAGGATTAAGTGCAGAGGAGCACAACACCGGTTGGAGTGGATTTGCTAGGAAAGAGGAAGAAGTTTGCTGTGTCTTTGGAAAAGTTACAGGTCTTTGTGACTTACTCCGGCTGTTCTGCTTTGTGCTCACCCATGTACCTTGATTATATGCATCCTATTGGGAAATCAGTGGGACTCAGTAACCTGGGGGGAAAAATTAGGGGATGTTGAGACGCTGTCAGTTCAGCTACAGTGCAGGACAGATCCCAGATCCTGACTGTATGCTTCCAGGAGAGATCTCTGTCCTTTCTTAACCTTGAGCAAGAGGTGTACTTTATTGCATCAGAAAAATGCTGCCTGAAGCCCCAGCATATGCGAAAGGTAGGTTGTGGAATTGCTGTGGTATGGACTTAAGGCAGTCTGAAGAGAAATGCGCTGACTTAACACCAATACTTCTTTCGATGCAATGTTCATTGTTACCTGTTAAGGTGTTTTGGATGAGCTTGGTAACAGGATAACTTAGGAGAGTGAGGAGAAGGAAGGGACTGTCCCTTTTTGTGACAACAAGCTGCTAAGCTGCCTTAGCTGAAGTGTCAGTAAGGCTTTAGTTAGGTTAGGAAACGAATTTTCTGTCTCCAGACTGCTGCACTTGATTCTGGATACAGTGAAATGAGGAATGTGCTTGCTTTCTCACTGATATTTCTGCTCAGAGATTTGAAGGTTATTGTCACATCACACCTCAGTTGTCTTTTAAATTTTTTTAAATTTCTGTTTAAACTTTCTACACAGCATGAGTCTGCAATGCTGTGCACCTTTTAATTGTGACTGGTGTTAAATGTTTTGAAACATTGTAAAAATGCCCAGATTGATATGCCTTCTGAAAGAAATGAGGTGTTTAGAGAGAAATGATAGTTGCTGTTTCAGCCTTTCTGCCTAATCTGGTTTTGGCATCTCATAACTGAACATAATGGGAAGAAAGCTCAGTAATGTGGCCTGCATTCTGAACAGTGTGGTGCATCAGGTGTAACACACAGTCTGACCTCTGCCTACAGGGGTTCCATGCGGATTGGGAAGGATTTTATCCTGTTCACAAAGAAAGATAACACCATGACTTGCCTCCTCTTATCACGGACGTTCCATGAGGAAGAAGGCATCGACGAGGTTTGCATGTGCTTCTTGTAATGAACTAATATAGTGAATGCTGCCTCATCTGAACTTGCCTAGCTCTTACAGAAGAGTCTGTCTCAGGGCTGTTTGTGACTCTGGTGGGATCAGGGTATGGTTTTCTTTTAGCATTATGCTGTAGGGCTTCTGCAAAGTCAACACATTTTTTTCCTTTTGGTTTTAATTCTAATTCAGAAGTCTCTAGAGTAGAGCAAGTTTGAAGGGCTTATTTCAGTCACTTAAAGGCGTGCTTATGCTAAGTTCAGGACATGCCCAGACATCTTGCATTTTTCTTTTCTCACAAAATTTGAGCTTGAGATGTATTTAATTTTACTGTGCTGATATGATTTTGTGTAGAGAACTAAAGATGTTTGAAGTTGCTACCCATGGGTCATTAACTGCAGGTGTGTCTTCTTACAGATATTTTTGATTTTTAATAAAAAAGTCAGTATAGTTCTACCTATGAAAAACTTGTATATTTTAATAGATAACTCAGGCATTGTTCCAGGCAAGGTTGATAATTTAAATTTGCACTGGGCTGGTATCTCAGAAAGCATCTTCTGGTATGAGGGAGGGATTGAAGGGTGAAACTGGGGAGGGTCAGTGCATGCTGGTAGCCAGCCCATGACTGAAGCAGGTTGGGAAGAGTAAAGTAAGTCTAATTCCCACAGCAGCTCTGGCTACTTTTTTGGCTTGACCACAGTTCTGGGATGGGATTTGTGTCCTTGATGTGCAGCTGCAGTTTATAATTCTGTCTGTATTTTTACTCTACATGGCAGAAACCACCTTGCTAGCATCCTTTAAAAAAATCAAAGACTGAGGTCCGGATAAATATGAGTGAAGGATATCGAGGAATTAAGCCAGAATGTTTTTTTTTTAGTATTATGAAAGTTGCTACATGAGAAGGGGGAAAAAAAGCCATTGCGTGTGTGAGTAGCCAGTACCATACATGTAACTTGGAATGGTTCACTCTGAGACTGGTATGTTGAGAAGGCTACTCAGAGGCTGGCAAAGAGGGTCTGTGAGTATTTGACAGACATGCAAACTACTGAAGAGCTGGAAAGGCCTCTCCTGATGACTTAGGGGGCTGTCAGGAGGGGTAAGTCACTGGACCATGACCTGCAGGAGGGGCTGACTGGAGTGGGAGAGCCTGAGTCACTCTCAATACAATGGGATTTGCAGGTCATCGTTCCCCTACCCACCTGGAATGCACGGAGCCGTGAACCCCTGACGGACAACATGGAGAAATTTGCTATTGAGACGGAGCTCATTTACAAGTATTCCCCTTTCAAATCAGAATGGGAAGTGATGGACCAGTTCAATAAGATACGTGGTGAGAAAGGTACATGTGGATGGTGCAGGTCACAAGTGAGATATTTGGGGTTTGGTTGGGATTCACCTGGTTGACTTGTTACTTTCTCAGGCACTCTGGTGATCATCTTTAACCTGAAACTAATGGATAATGGAGAGCCAGAGCTGGATGTGACTTCTGACCCTCACGATATTCAGATGGCAGAAACACCCCCAGAGGGAACGTAAGTGTGACTGGTGTAACAGGCCTTGATCAAATTTGGTGTAGGGTTTTATACTGGCTATATACTGTGTACATGGATTTTTTTTAAGATTCTCATTTTGTAGTGAATTAGGGAATTTAGAAGATCTGTAGTTTGTTCTTAAGCTGTTTGGGGTACATGTGTGTCAGCCCATGGGTGTTGTGGCTGTGTTTGGGATGAATGCCTGCAGTGGCTGATCTCAGCTTAGCCAAAGCAGAAAACTCAGTGTCCTTTAGACACCATAAAAAAAGGAGCTCTAAGCTTTATGTTTAATTTTATACACCTATCAAAGATGTTTTCATCAGAATGAGAGCTGGTTGTGAGGCAGTGCTGCTCCCAAATTGCTGTTCAGTTTTGTGGCAAAACATGAGGTGCTGCACAGGTCAGCCTCTGGGGGTGGATAGTATGGAAGGCAGGTGGGGTGTATCATCACATCTGTCAGGGACCACTTCTTCCTGTAGAGGGGCAAGAAGGATGTGCTCAAAGGGCAGCTGGAAGAGCACAGGCCCCTATTTAGAGAGAGCTGAGTGTTTGCTGAGTTGATCACCTGTAGCCTGAAAACAAAAAACTGAGCTGAAATGAGCCAAATGCTTGGTTAAGTCCCAGAGCTCCATGAGCACACCTAGCAAGCTTTACGTTTTTGATGAGATTACGTGCTTCTCCTCTGCAGTGCTTGAATTTTCCATAGGAAGTTTCAGACCCTGTAAAGCAGCTCTGTCTATGTATTAGAGTGATGTTACTGAGCAAATTCCTTGGGGCCCTCTGAGGGTTCTCAGCATCTTTAATATGCCTGTTTGTAAGGCAGGTGTGATTGCCACTGATCACTGCCTCTTCTTTCTGATATTGTGGTACCATGTGTGTCAGTGAGTAGTGCAGGTTCTGAGGCAGCGTACCTGACTCACTGAAGGGTGGAAATGCTCTGAGTAGGTGGGCACACTTTTAGTGTTAAATAGGCCAGTTGATAGCTTTGGCCATTATTATCCAGATGTATTCAAACTTCCTCTTCAGGTTGCAGTAACACGAGTATCAGTTTCTTGTAGCAGTAGTTATGATGTACAGCTCAACAAAGAGTCTGGAGAAGACATAGGTCAAAAAAATTTGAAGAAAAGCTTTACTTAATGTAGTTTCATGGTAATTAAAACAGAAAGACCTTTTCTTTCACCTGTCTGTTTTGCTAAGGGTATCTCTTGGGCATATTCTGAAGTAGATGTCTCTCTTGCAGCAAGCCGGAGCGACGCTCCTTCCGTGCCTATGCTGCTGTGCTTTATATTGATCCCAGGATGAGGATCTTCATCAATGGACACAAAGTACAAACCAAACGACTCTCATGCTGCCTCTACAAGCCAAGGTAAGTGTTGGATCCAGGATCTGTGGGTCTGTGGGACCATTTGGAATTAGAGAAAAGGTGTAGTGTTTTGCTCTCCAGGTGTATAATTCCATTCCTAACCCTAATAGCACAGAATCAGACCATAATAGAATGGCATGTGGTGTTGACATCGTGGGAAGAGAGATACATCGTGGAAAATCGAATGCCTTTGAAAGTTGCATGAGTCATTGGTGCAATTTGGCTCCCTTTCAGAGCAAACAAAGAAATTAAGATCCTGGTTGTATGAAATACCATATTAATACGAAACTGTTGGGTAACTATGTTGTTGTTGTTGAGCAGAAGGAAATACATATGGTGGGTGTTAGGATTATTTCCAAAAAGAAACTAGACCGAGTGCTTTGAAACAGTTGCTTTTATATGTAGCTAATCCAGGTTTAAATAGAGATTGAGAAAAAGCTTTCCCTATATTCCTTTTAGATTTCCTTAAACAAAAAATGTGACCGTGAGCTGGGGTGTGCTGTCAGTTGGCTGAAGGGAGACTGGAAAAGGTTACTGGGATGGGAGGGGAAAGGGAAACCTGTATTTCAGTCTACTTGAGGTGGACTCTCTCTGGGAGCACACAGTCTGCATTCTAGATACCCTGGCATAATTTATTTGAATCAAATAGTAGTAATTTTGTAGAGTATTTGTGGATTTTTTAGTATAGCATTTTGGGCTCACTCAGCCTACTAGGCACTGTTAGCAGCCACAGGCCAGTGTCACACCACTGACAGTGCCTGAAGAGCCTGGCTGGTTTTTAACTTAGGCTTCCTCAGCTCCTTACATGAGACTCTGTGAAATGGCATCAGAAACCTGACCAAAATAAAAGAATGTTACACACCCTCTGCTCCTCATGCTGGCCAGGCCAGTTGTTTCCCTGCGGAAGGCAGGGAACTTGCCAATGTAAATCCTGATTTACTGGGTAGAGAATCTCTGGATTTCTGTATTTTTGACTGTGTTTTATCTACATGTGAGGGCCTTGTGCTGCTTCTGCTTGTGCTGTAGTTCATCAAAAGTACTAGGGAGAGAAACCGGGGGAGACCAGCTCTTGCGAGACTTCTGGACAGGATGCCATCATTGTGGGCGATGCTGTCAGCGTCATGACAATATTAGGTGTCCCAAGTCACCCCAGATGTTCATCTACCTCAGTGTCTTCTTTTTCAAGTGATCAGTAGTCTATTCTAAGAAGCCCCAAGCTGATGTGTGCTGGTGGCAGGTGTATCTTACAGATCTGCTTGTGCCACATCTGAGCAAACTCCTGTAGATCTGCTTATAGTGACAGGCCAGTACAAATTCCTGAACATTGTAAAGACATTTACATTTAAAATCCCCATTCCTGCAACAGAGCAGTAAAGACTGCAAGGCCTTCCTGCAGAGGACAGTGTAAATCTTCTCAGTCTTGTGGCAATCATTGTGGCTTTACTGGGCCTCTCTGGAGACTGTCCAGACTGCTCCCTTCTGGCTGGACTTCCCAATGCCAGCTTTGGGCTCTAGAAGCTGCGTGGCCATCAGGACAAGCCATCAAAGCCTTTACTGTGGGTTCTGAGAGCCAGCACCGCTCTTGGGGTAGATGCGATGCTGTGCCCTGGGCAGGTTGAGGAAGCTGTCTTTTTCCTCAGGAGAGCTCAAATCTGCCTTTGGTGGCTCTTTCTAAAGGGAAAACCAGTAAATCAGTCCACTCTGAAAGTGGTTACTTTGCTTTTACTGCCATAGGTGTAGGGTTTTTTTTACATTTTTCTCCCTGAACCTGCTGAAAAGGGTCACTTATGCCCTCACTTTCCCTTTAGAGCTGAAGCCAGAGCTCACCATCCCCATTTATCTACTAGGCTTTGAGTGCTCCGCAGGGTAATACTGGATTAATCCCTTGTATTTGTGCCAGCATTGTTTTGTGTGTGAGTGCACAGGGAAGGGACCTCCATTATGGTGCTCCTTTGGGACCAGCAAATGTAGCAGTGATGCTCAGCTCTTTAGCATGGGTGTGTTTCTGGCCCAGTAGCCTGGGCCAGGTAAATCCTGAACCTTCCTGGTCAAGCAAAGGGATGGGGAACAGACAGTGGAGGTGCTGCTGCCTTACAGCCTGAGTAGCTGGTGTGCTTGTCTGGGACATCTGAAGGGCTCTTTTCTTTCAGAGGGGCCTCCCTCCTGCTGTCAGTCAGGTTGCCTTTATCTCTGAAAGAAAAGCCTGTACAGTGGCTTGTCTGCAGGTTCCAGTGTTGGTGTTTGTGGACAATGAATAGAAATTCACTGTGGATTTGGGGTATGTAAGTGCCTTTACTGAAAAAAGGTTTTGCAGCCCTTGCACTGTTTTTCAGGAATAACAGCGCATCTCCTGAGCAGGACACTTGTTTTCTGTTTGTCACCACCCATGTTTCTATGGGAGAGGCTTCTCCTCACCTTTCTGGAGCTGAAAACATCCTGGTGGCAGGGGCTGGCTGGTTTTGTGTGGATCTTTCACCAGCCTTTGCACTTGTGTTGCCACATTCCCAGCTTCCCTGGGAGTGGCCTGTGTCTCCTGAAAGATTGCTTCCATCTCTTCCCCGGTACCTGTTGGAGCTTGTTTAGCAATATGGGCTATGCAGATAGAAATAGCCAGGCCACATGCAAGGCCTGTGCCTCCACAAGGACACTCCAAGGCAGTTGGAATGAGTGTCTTGAAGGTCGTGATGGTTCACAGCGCCATCATCTAGGACATCTGACAGTTGCTTACAGTGTTCCCTACAGCAAAGGAGTGCTGTCCCTATGGTCCCCCCAAGTGCTGCCCTGTCTGCTGGGCTGGGCATGGGGAGATAATTCAGCTTTGCTCTACTTCTCTGTCTTTTTATTTTCTCCTTAGAATTCAGGCAGGTGTGGGTGAAGTAATGTAGTTATGCCAACATGTTGAAAGCAGTCTGGTTTTCAGAGTGTACTATCTCCTGGCTCCAGATAGCTTTAATCAACCTTACATAGGTTAGAGATGATGCCACCAAAATCCTGACTCTGTAGCTCCTGACCTGATGAAATCACCAACTGTGATTTCTGGAAGTCTTAGCACCTGCCTCCTTTTTCCCCAGGGAGGAAATCCTTAAAAATAGCAGAAGATGTGTTTCTGGGAAAATGTATTTCGAGGAACGGTGCTTGTGGTATTAATTTTCTAGATTTGGGAGCAAGGGATTCCTGTTGGTGAGATTATGTCTGATGTCAGTACCACGTGTGCTCACCCACAGAAACAAACCTAAACAAAACTTTTCATAAGTACAAGGTTGTTTCTCATAAATCCTGACAGTTTATCTGCATTTGGGGGGAATTTTGTCTCTCATTAGGATCTAAGTGTGATTCCAGTCAGTTGGTCAGTCAAGTGTTACATCTCCATGTGTTTTTGCCTCTCTGTAAAAACAGCATTTCTAGTGGCTTTTGCTTTAGCTAAATACTGGAAAATTTAATCCCATCCATTTGGGATGGGATTTTCCTCTGGGTATATCCAAACCCTCATGTCTGAAGGTGATCTGAGTTCCTGCAGGCTCTGCTTGTCCTAGGTGTCATCTTTCCTTGTGACGTGCTTGGATACATGTTCATGAGCTTCTGCCTCACAAACACCAGTCTTTCACTCTGCAGCAGTCAGTGAATTTGGATCTGTATTTGGCATGTTAGCATACAGGGAAGGTGAAACAAGCTGCTTCATCTCCAGCACAATTTACAAGGTTATGAGTCAGATACAAAACACAAAGAAGTGTCCTGAAACTTGAAGTTCTTACCAAATTGTTGTTCTACTTTGAGATAGCCCTGTGTGAGATGGACCTGTCAGACTGCACCTGTGGACAGCTGTTCACAGGAAAGGTTATTTAGCTGTAGTGGAAGCGTTTTGAGAAGCTTTCCATATATATTCACTCCTCCTCTTTACTTCCGAAGAAATTATTTCTCTAAGTCTTGAGATTTGCGACAAGAATATGGATATATTTCACCCCCACTGGTTAATGCAGAAGAAGAGAGGATATTGTGGTTGGAGCTACTACTAAAATATCTATGACTTAAAAAGATTTTGCTTAGCTTCATCCAAAAATGTCCGGTTCATGATATGTAAACCTCCTCCATTTATTGAATCTATTGGGAGGAGTAGAGTAGCATGTGGGGACCTTCTTCTCTCACGCAGTGATGAAATTTTGATTTGACCTTACTGCTGAGTTTGCTGATTACTAAATTTTGATCATCACAGGATGTACAAATACACTTCAAACCGTTTCAAGACCCGTGCAGAGCAAGAGGTGAAGAAAGCAGAGCACTTGGCAAGGATAGGTGAGTCGTCAGGGTATGCATTCATCTGTTGCTAAGGGGAGGACTAAACCCTTGAATGGTGTGACCTGGGGTTGGCTGCCTCTGGGATCACTGAAATTGCTCAGGAACTGAATTATTGCAGCAACTACAGATGACACAGACTTAGGTTCATGCAATGGAAGGAATGTACATTGTTTCCAGAGACCATTTCATCATCTGAGTAGCAGATGTACAGGATAACCCTTGTAGTCCCAGCAGTTTTCCCCCACTCCAGCAGAAGCCTGGCTGAGCCCTGTCATCCTACAGTTCTTCTCTCACCTTTAAGATATTATGAGCTTTTGGCTAAGTTTTCATTCTGCACCTTTCCTGTTAAGGCAGCTAAATAAGTAGATTTTTATTCTGTCACTTAATGTAAAGAGTCTGGGGTCTGGGTGTACAAGGGAGCCCTGGTTTGTTTGGTTTTAATCCTTCCTGGCATACCTTTTGCCCATCTAATCTTCCTTTCCTGTTAAGTCCTGTAATCCTCAGGGAAAACTCAGTTTGTCGTAATTGATTATTCAGCATATAGAAATCACACAAGCATATAAATACAGCATTAGACTGTATTAGAACTGCATTAAATCTCCAGAAATATAACACAAAAAGCAGCATCCCTCCCTAACCCTTAATGCAAAAATACTATAGTGAAGGAGGAATCTTGGAAGTTGTGATTTATATGTGACCTGTATCTTCTGGTAGGTTTCATAAATCAACTACATAAATCACTTGGAAGCATGTGTCCTCTGTCCTGGTGTCAGAGCTGCTTTAGGCATGTCTGCACATGGCTGCAGGTCATATATACAAGGGATGGTGCCGCATTCAGCCTCTACAGCATCACAGAGGGCAGTGTGATTGTGACCCTGCCCTAAAGAAAAGCAGCAGAGTGAAATGGTGTGAATTGCCATGTTCCCTGTTCCTCCTTTAGGAAGTACAGCCTGGCAAGATAGACTTGGTAAGATGAAGCTTAAACAGATTTTATTGTGTGCCTCAATCCTCATAGGTGAATTCATTTTTACATTGAGTCCTATAGCCAGGGCATGTCTTGAGCACACACTCCCATTGCTTTTCAAGAAGATGCAAAGAGTAGGATTTAGAGAAGCTTCTTCCCTGAAGCAGTCTGTGAGGCTTTCGTGACACTTAAAAGTGGAGTTCAGTGTATGGCACTGAAAAATGGTGTCCATTGTTGTCCCAGTGCTGAGAACAGGTCCCATTGGCCCTAAAATATCACACATTTCCATCACCAAACCAGCCTGGTGCCTTTGGGTGTGCAGGGATCGCTGAACCTGCAGTGTGTCCAGGGGGCCAAGAAGGTGAGTGACATCCTGGCCTGTGCTAGAAATAGTGTGGCAAGTAGGACCAGGGAAGTGATTCTTCCCCCCTGCCTGGTACTCAGCACTGGTGAGGTCACACCTCAAGTACTGTATCCAGTTCTGGGCCCCTCATTTCAAGAAGGACATTGAGGTGTTTAAAGTAAGTCCAGAGAAGGGCAATGGAGCTGGTGAAGGGTCTGGAGTGCATGTCCTATGAGGAGAGCTGGGGTGGTTTAGCTTAGAGAGAAGGACGCTCAGGTAAAACTACCTGAAAAGGAGGCTGTAGCCAAGTGGGGGTAGGTCTCTGCTCCCAGGCAGGTAGTCACAGGATGAGAAGACATAGTCTGAAGGTGCACCAGGAGAGGTTTAAGTTGGACATTAGGATTAATTTCTTCACAGAAGGGATTGTTGTATATTGGAATGAACTGCCCAGGAAGGTGGTGGAGTCACCATCCCTGGAGATGTTTAAGGAAGGACTGAATGTGGCACTTAGTGCTGTGGTCCAGTTGACATGGTTGTGTTGGTCACAGGTTGGACTCCATGATCTCAGAGGTCTTTTCCAACCTAATTGATTCTGTGATTCTGTGAACTGGCCCAGTGCTTTTGGTGTGCAGGGATCACCAAACCAGCCCAGTGCTTCAGGGAGTGCAGGGATCACTGAATGGGCCTGGTTCCTCTAGGGGAAAGAGGGTGCTGAGCAAAGGGCGTAGGACACTGTGGTGAAAACTCCCAGCTGACCTCAGACTGTTACTTGAAGATTGGAGCACACATGGAGCCTCCAGGACTAAAACATGCTCGGAGTATTATCCTCTGGGGCCTAAATCTTTACTTGTAGGAAAATAGATTTTATCTGTAGCACCAAGCTTTTTTGTTCTCCTGCTGGTAGAAATTATTAATTTCTCATGGTCTCCAGTACTCCAGAGGGATCATCAGGAATGATTTGCAGTTTGCTCTTTTAAACCCAGGAGTACATTGTGACAAATGGTGGGTCTCAGCTGAGCAAACAGCAGTTCCAGAATGCCAGAGATACCTGCCTACAAGGAATGTGTTGGAATCAGTCAGATTGAGAGATTGCTGAGTCTCTGAAAATAGCTTATGAGCTTGTGGAATCAAAACAGGATAACCAAAAATAGCTGGATAGGGAAGATGTATGAGTAGCAGAGAGGGGGTGCAGGTATTGTTTGCCTTGGCGTGAGCTATGCCATCCCTCAGCATGCACCCTTTGTATTGCCAAATTACAGAATCACAGGAGGGGATCTTAAAGCTCATTTTGTCTAAAGTCTCCCTGAAGCCTTCTCCAGGCTGAACACTCCCAGCTCTCCCAGCTTGGCTCCAGAGCAGAGGTGCTGCAACCCTTGGAGCATCTCCATGGCCTCCTCTAGACGCTCTCCAGCAGCTCCAGGTTCTTCCTGTGCTGGGCCCCAGGGCTAGAGGCAGCTCTGCAAGTGGGGTCTCACCTGGACAGGGCACAGGGGCAGGATCTCCCCCTCCCCTGCTGCACATGCTGTGGGATCAGCCCAGGGCATGGAAAGTTTCTGGGGGCCAGAGCAAACAGCTGGGACAGGTCCAGCTCTCATCCACCGGCACCCCTAATTCTTTCTTACTCAGGACTGCTCTCAGTCCATTCTCCTTGCAGAAACTTAGGTTTATTGAATGAATCTTAAGTAATACCAGGGTGATATGTGCCTATCATCAGCATTCCTGTTTGTCTAGGAGAGAGGCAAAAAAGGGAGTTCCTTTTACATGGTAAGTTTCTTGCATGCAAGGATCACGTGCAGGGTAGGTTTTCCAAATGCTGGGTCCTATGTAACGTGTAGCACGGATTTGTCGTTTTTCCAGGCAAAATTTAGCAATTATTAGAGATAAAAGCATTTCTGAGAGTAGTCCTTTCCCTTAATCTTTGCAAGAAAATTACTTCTTTGGAACTCCTTTTCAAGCCTGAACTTAGTCTTGGTTTTGTGAGAACCTTTCTCTGAATCACATTACCAAGCAGAGCAGGCAGGGCCACAGGCATTCTTAGAGACTTTCCAGTTCCTTGTTGTCTTCCTCACAGATCCTTCCTTCAAATGTGCTTTTGCACAGTTTATCCCTACTGTTGTGCCAGTGTTGACTGGGACCTCTGAGCATGTTTAAGATGCCATGTCAGTGGGACCCTCTCATGTAAGGTTTGATTTTTGTACATTTTTGTGTTTCCTTTGTACCCTTGTACACATCAGTGCAGCAAAGGCTCTCTGGAATTGCTCTCTTTGGGTGAATGCCTGATGGTGTCTGTCTGTACCAAATGGCTGACAGCATCCTTGTCCCTGTATGTTTCAGCGGAAGAGAAGGCTCGCGAGGCGGAGAGCAAAGCCCGTGCCCTCGAGTTACGCCTTGGAGGGGATCTCACGCGGGAGTCTAGGGTGAGCCTTGTGCTTTTAGCAGCATGTTGTGTTTTGAGCACCAAGGGGTGTTCGGAGCACTGGTGGTGGAGCGATGCTGACTGGGCAGCACCCCATGGCAGCATGCTGTGTGCTGGTTAAGCAGGTGGTGGCTCCAGTCAGCAGTGAACTTCCAGCAACATTTAGCCATCTCCATGGCTTCATCACCACTGGATGTGTTTCACCATCTTCACATGATGTGCAGCCCAAGTGAGAAGTGTGTTGGCATTCCCCTGCCTACACACTCAATATATCCTGCGTGAGAAGGTGACCTCCTGACTCCAGGTGCTGTTTGCTGACAGCCTCTGTGGAAGTGGCCCGGGGAACAGAACTAGAGCTATGGGCTTTTTGGCTGTTCCCTGCTGCCTGTGCAGCTGTCTCCGCGGCATTTGGGCCGGGGCTTTTGGAGAGGGCCTCTTTGCTTCCTTCCAGTGGGACTGTGGCTTTGAGGGGCAAGGCTGAGCCCTGGCGCCAGGAGTTGGGAGGAGGGCTGGCAGGGGCACCAGAAGGTCAGCAAGCAGCACCAGTTTAAAATCATTGAGCTTCCTATTGGTATGTCATGGAAACAATAGCATCCAAGTGCCCTGGATGTGTCCTTGTGCTCCATTGCCACTGTTTTCAATTTCCTTAATCCTCTTTTTACATTTTCCTCCAAACAACCTAGCATAAGTTTGCCCTACTTCTGGAGTCACACTGGTTGTCACTGTCTACCAGTTGTGACTTATTTACACTTAAAACATTTCTCAGCTCTTCCTGAAAGAGCAGAAAATCATAAATGGAGTGAATTTTATGAATTTCCCAGCTTGAGCATGCAATGCCTGTTTGCAGGTGACATTGCGTCAGGTCCAGAACTCGGCCATCACCCTACGGCGGGAGGCTGACGTCAAGAAAAGGATTAAGGATGCAAAGCAGCGGTGAGTGCAGGGGCTTCGAAACTCTGGAGTACCTAGGCTGTTTGCTCCAGGTGCTCATATAGCTCTCCTGTTTTGCATGTATTTTCGGTTCAGCTCAAAGCTTAAATATCCATGGGCATCTTATATGCCTGGGCTGTTACACTGAGCTGGGGCACTATTCTGGTTACCTCTGGCATTCCCCTCTCACCTGCTGAAAGACATGGTGGGTCTCTGGATTGGGTTGTTGGCTGTAAATATTTAACTGGTTTTCACATCAGTTTTTTTCAGTCTTGCTTTTTCACTTGCAGATGAGATTCAGGCTGATGAACAAATGTTCACAAGTTACAATGAAACAGCTTTAGGAATTTTAGGCGTGCTTTCTAAAAAAAGCTGAGTTTTGGTGTAGTCGGTGCTGTGAAATCCCAAGGCATTCCTCTAGCTTAGCTCTGGTGGCACTTAACTTTGGTTTTTGATGTACTCACAGGAATATTTCACTCTTCATATACGTTTGTTTTGCATTTCTCAAATGAAGTGAAAACCAGAAACAAATGCTCTTAAAACACATGCTGAGTTTGAGGAAGTTGGGGGTTTGGATACAGAACGTCTCCATTCCCTATGTGTATGCATGCCCATTTACATGGCTGCCTGGGTCAGAACTATCGCAGACTTGTTGCCAGAGGTAGATCTAGTGCATCTTAAGTGCTGAAAAGAAAGAAATAAATACAGCTTTAATTTAAAAGTGCTAGAGCTAGGATCTGAATGATACAGAAGCTTGTGAGAGAACCTGTTTCCTTCAGCTTCCACATACTTTTCCATCTACACCTTTGTTCTTTAATTCTTGGGTTTGGTGACATTAGTGTGCAATGAAAAATTTGTGAATAGTCTTCTGCCCTTCCTGCCCATGGGCAAAATACTTCTTCCTGTTGCTAAGCTGACCAGCAAAAAGCCACTCTGGGCAGGTACATGGCTTTCCCTGTGTCCCTGCGTTCGTCGCTGGTGATCAGAAGCAGATCAGAGGATTATGCTTTTCTACAGCATTGTACTTCATTCAGAAAACCAAAAAAAAAAATCCTGAAAGATGTGTATAATAGGCACATTAGCTTCTATACTAAGCAATCCCTGTTGTCTTTTGGAAAATTCTTGAGTTACAGAGGATGTCCTAGGACAGTTTTCTGCTGTTTCCCTGATGCTGGGTGCATCAATGAAAGAAGTGCTTTCAGGTTTCCAAAGGCTGTGTAAGATCAGGTTGGCTCTGAATCCAGACAGTAGGACAGGTACTAAATTTCTAGTAATTAAATCCCTGGCTTTTGACCCACCACTTCATTTTCCATGGTTTGGATGATAATTTTACTTCCTGTCCTCTCTGATAAAAATGAAATGTCCTTTTTGTTTTGTAGGTGAGTACATGCTATTTCTTGAAGTATAAGGCTCTACATTTTTTTCCAGAAGTTAGAAAAAGAAAATTAATCCCTGAGATGGGTGTTTTGCTGCACTTGCTCATGCTCTTGAATCGTGGTTTTCTACAACAGTGAGCTGAGACCAACAGGTCACATTCCAGCCCAGCAGCTGGCAGTGTTCAAAACCCCTCTTGGCAAAGGTTTAGATTTGAAATTACTGAAAGCTGCTATTTCAGGTGTCTTCCTAGTAATGTACTACAGTCACCAGTCTTAAATGAAGCTGTGTCACAGGGTACCATTGCATCTGTGTGAGAGATGATGGCCTTAAACAAAAAATGAATATGAATTTTATTTATTTTTGGTATTTATTTTGAAAAGTTTCACCATTAAGACAGACTCAGATCTCATATCTGCAGGTGATCATTGTGTAGGGTTCACGCATGCGTGGTTCAAGTCTTCCTAATATTTGATATTAGTAGACAGTCAACTGAACATTTTAAGGAATTCCACTATCTTCAGCTAACCATTTAAGCAGAAGTCAAATTCCTCATTACGATAAGGTACATAACTGCAAAGGACTTGATGGGGGCTGGTGGGGAATATAAAGCAGGTCAAAATTGAGAGGGATGGGCAGGACCATGGTATAGGCTATGCCTTGCAGTAGTTACTGGTTTAGACCTCACATTTGAGGATGCCTTCATACTGAGGCTGAGTATCCTTCTTATGAAAAATCCTCAGCGTGGGTATCAGGGAAGCTGTGGAACCTGATTAATTTAGTATGTTGAAGAGCAGGACTTGTTTGTGAGACACAGGGATTTTGTTTGATTTATAGCACAAAGAGATCAAAATCTCAAGGCTTTTGGCCTTAATGGAGATAGAATTCCTGGTAACCAAAGATTCAGATTGGGAAATCCTTGTGGGCTCACAAACATATTCGAGGCCAACTTTTCTTGGAGTCATCTGCTGCATAGATAAGGGAGAAATCATGCAAATTGATATCCTGACATTCCAGAAAAAAAGAGCTCTGCTTGGGCTGTATGTTGTATCCTCCAGATTTTGAACTCAAGGAGCAGCCTTGTGAAATTTGGAATTAGGAGAACTTTCTAGAATCAGAATATCAAGACTGTAGTTTTGTATTGAAATCTGAATTTCCATGCTTTATCTAGAAAGGGATATACAGCTGGAAAATACAAACCAAAATAGCATGAGAAAGGACCAGTCTGGATGCAACAGCACTCTCATAAAATTAATTCACTGAATAAAAACATCTGAAGTAAAAACCAGAATCTGTTTTGAAGGAGAAAACATATTCAAACAAAAAATTCTCTGTCCAGCCTAAATTAGTATTTGTATTGCAAAGTTTTTGTATTTTGTTCATATTCAGTTGTAATGCTCTTTCAGCAAATGTTTTGTATTTTTCAGAAGTAGCAGTTGAATGCTCAAGGGTGTTGGCCTTCCATACCCTCTCTCTAACACCAGCAGATAGTATGTTTTATTTCCAGCATCCCTAGAGGCTCTGTTTTGTCCTCTACAGGGCACTGAAGGAGCCCAAGGAGCTGAATTTTATCTTTGGGGTGAACATTGAGCAGCGCGAGCTGGACGGCATGTTCATTTATAACTGCAGTCGGCTGATCAAGATGTATGAGAAGGTGGGCCCACAGCTGGAGGGTGGCATGTGAGTCCTGCAGATTTTTCTGCAATCTTTGCTTAAGCTTGGCACATTTTTCTGTATCTGACTTAGGCTGTGCAATAACCATGTTTTGCATTAATCATTCTTCATGAGCCTGAGGCCTGCTCATTTTGTCAGCCTTCAGTTTGCATTCTGACAAATAAATTATATTTAGTACTGCCTCATATTTTCCTGGTTTCTTGATAGAGAATTCTTGACACAAATTTTAAACATCCCTGCAGCAGTATGAGGAGCTTGGTATTTGGTGCTAATGAGTGCTGGTAGTACTAGTGCCTCATTCCAGAGACAGGCAAAATAGGTCTTGACAGCAAGTACAAATATTTGAGCCCGTCTTACATTTTGCGTGACAGTTCATGTTGCCAGCCTGTCGGTTTAATCTGTGTCCTTCTGTGTCACTCTGTGTCCCTCTTCCAGGGCATGCGGAGGAGTGGTAGGCGTGGTGGATGTGCCCTATTTGGTTCTGGAGCCAACCCATAATAAACAAGACTTTGCTGATGCCAAGGAGTATCGACACTTGCTGAAGGCCATGGGAGAGCATTTGGCTCAGTATTGGAAGGATGTTGCAATAGGTAGTGAAGCTTCACAATTACCAGAGTCTGGAAGGAGAAATTTGGGTGGCTGAAGGTCAGCCAAAAGTGCAGATGGTGATTTTGTGATAATGGCTCCATATTGAGCAGAATATGGTTTGTTTTCCAGCCCAGAGAGGTATCATCAAGTTCTGGGATGAATTTGGTTATTTATCAGCAAACTGGAACCAGCCTCCGTCTAGTGAACTGCGTTACAAGCGCAGGAGAGCCATGGAGATCCCCACCACAATTCAGTGCGGTGCGTCTGATCCAGCTGCTTCTCTCTGGGGAAGGGGGGAACACTCCTGGCTGCAGATGGGGACAGTTAAATGCATAGGAGATTTGGGATGGACTATCATCCCTTCCTAGGACCTGTCTCCTCTGCAGTTTGCCTTTGTCTGCACTGAGTGGTATTCTGTGACAGCCAGGCATAAAGCTCCTTTCCTGCACAGTTTGCTAGTTCACTAACTGATCTTCACAGCTGATCTTCTGACAGAGCAGGGTAGGTATGGCCAGTAGCAGTGTTGAGAGCAGGCTTAGAAATGTCATATGAACTGGAACTCACCAAAGGCACCCATCCCAGTACCAGAATAAGATCTGAAACATCCTCACAGGCAATGGGAAGTGGCCAAGTAATTTGTACCCTGATGCACTGGCCTGCACTGTGTCAGCACAGAGGGAACCTTTTGCAGTTCCCTTGGAGTTTAATGCAAGTTCTCTTCTGTGCACCTCTAAACAGCTCTGGCTAAGCCCTTGTTAGAGTAATGGGAAGCTCCACACCATCACTTTGTCACCTGGTAGAGGGACACCAAACTCCCTTATTTTCTCCCTGGGACTTGAGGATGTGGTTGTAGGAAGGAATGTGAGGCCATTCTTGTGGAATTATTTGTTAGGCTCTTCTGCCTTGATGGTTGTCTCAGTCTTTTCATGGTTCTTTTGAAGGGGGAGGGACTTTTTTCTCCTTCTTCTTGTCTTCCCTTGTTGATATCCTTCCAGAGCCTGATTTAAGGACATTTGGATTTTCTTGGCAGAACTTGATTTTGTGAAGCTGTTGGTTTCCTGGTAGGCTGGCAATACTCTGGAAGACAAATTTGTGTTCCTGGTTCATCAAAAATTTAGTAGATTTTTTTTTAAGTGGATATGTCTGTGATTTGTGTTACTTTGGTATCGTTGAGAGACAGCCTGACTGCTGGGCAGAGCTGTGATGTCTGGACTGGCTGTTCAATTCAGTTTGTATATGTCATAGTTGCAGCAGGAGTGTGAGGTTCTCTGGTGTTGGTTGGTGCCAGGCTTCATTGTATTCTTGTTAGGTAGGATTGTCTTTGAGGGTTTCATTCAAGTGTTTTGTGAGCACAAATAAATAATTGACTCAATATATTCTGTGACTGTCTCACTTTTTTAGCCACTAGTCTTACTGTTGTTGGATACACTTTGGTGTGGTACTTGGGCATTAAATGGGCTACAGGAAAAAATGATGTGTATCAGGCTGTGTATTTCTGACTTGCAAAGTGTCTGTCTGACAGATGTCTGTCTGAAGTGGCGGACTCTCCCATTCCAGCTGAGCTCGGTGGAGAAGAACTACCCTGACACCTGGGTGTGCTCCATGAACCCTGATCCTGAACAAGACAGGTAAGAATCAGTTAATATTAAGATTTTTCTGCAAGGTGCTTTATCTGCACATTTGGAGCTTTTTTCTGGTCCTCTGTTCTTTGAAAACAGTTGGAGGGATACTGTACCTTTAAGTTGTGCTCACAGTCTGAGAAAAGGCAGCAATGGCAATTGTATAGGGAGCTGAATGCTGGGTGGGCATTTGCAATGTGCAAATTGCAGAGGACATCCTCAGGAAGTGACAGGTGATACCAAACTGGGAGGAGCAGCTGACAAGCCAGGCAGTCACAGATCCCTCCAGAGGGACTTGGAGGTTGCAGAAATGGGCCAGTAGAAGCCTATCCTGACATTCAACTAGGAAAATGCAAAGTCCTGTCCTTGGGGAGGACAGCCCCAGCACTGGTGTGTGCTGTCCATCCCAGAGCTGATCAGGCTCAGGGCATTCTCATCAATGTATAGAAACATATAAAGGCAGGTTGCAAAAAGCACAGAGCCTGGCTCTTCCCAGTGGTGCCTAGTGCCAGGACCAGACACCAGGAGCACAAACTGGAATGCTGGAGGGTCCCTCTGCACATCAGAAACACTTTTTTCCCTGTGAGGGTGACCAAATCCTGGCCCAGGTTTCTCAGGGAGATTGTGCAGTCTCTATCCTTGGAGATATTCCAAGATGTGGTCCTGAGCTCCTGGTCCTGGGTGGCCCTGCCTGAGCAGGGTGGAGCCAGGTAGACCCCAGAGCTGTCTCTAGCCTGTCAACCAAGTGATACGGTGAAATTTGAATCATTGGTTGTTTTTCTGCACTGGCACCAGAAACACTATTATAGATTTAGATTATATTAGTTTTGTCATGGGCAGGATAGATGGCAGCTGGAGAACTGTCATGCTGCAGGCTGGGAGTTAGGTGAGTTCAGGGGGGCTTCGCAATTGCCTTTATTGCTCCTACTGCTCCCACCCATCAGACACCAAACTGCAGCAATTACACATGGTTGGGATGAACCTAGGACGGACATTTTGCATGCTTGAGGAAGCAGCACAGTGGTTCATTTTCCAGTGATGTGTGTTACAGTCACAAAATGTAGGTAGAATGTAGTCATTTATTTGAGTGAGGAAAATGATTGCTTTAGGTTGCTTCTCTGTGGAAAGCAGCACTGCTGGAAGCCAGTTCTTGTCTGTATTCTGTAAGGAAGGGAAGCTGCTTCTCTGTAAGTCAGGTCCCTTGGCTCGGGGCTTAAAGACAAAGGGGATGAATCCAGGCAGTAACTTTTGATTGGAATAAAAAATTTAACATCTATGGCTGAAAATATTACAGAATATTGATGCTATTTCAAAGTATTGACTTTCTGACTTCTTCCTTTTGGTACCTCCCAGTGGAGAATACCTGTGCTGACTTCTCTGTTTGCTCCATATGTATGTAGAGCTCCTGCTGTAGAGCTCTGAGGAGTGTGGCAGTGCTGAGGATGTTCCTGGACAAAATGTTGGGGCAGGGCTGAGCCTGGAACCTAAGGGGCTGGCACATCCCCAGCCCTTCAGCTGGAAGGAGTAGCAAGGTTCAGAAGATGTTGCTTGTAGACACACAGAAACACAGACAGACCGTGTATGTACGTACATCCAGTAACACAGATAGCACAAGTGGGCATGTGCAGTGCTCCCACAGACCACACCAGCAGCTTCATCCTTTTCCCTCTTGGCTCGTCAGGATGAAGGATCACTAGTGGAAATACTCATGTCCATACCTGGCCTTCAGATCCCGTGCCTCTGGTTACTTCCACTGGGATAGATTGGCCCTGAGGCCTGCAGTCCCAGGGGGGAGGTGTACAGACCTCCTTCTGTGTTTACACATAGCGCACACACACTCCAGACCTCCCAGTGTCTCACACTGGGGATCTCTCTGTCTTGATTGGATCAGGATCCTTGCTCTTCCCCATGTGCTTTCTGCCTAGAGACACCCACAGTTCCACCTACACCCCTATACCCATCTCCATCAGCTGTGAGACTCACCCATGTCTCCAGTGATCAGCTCCTGAGGGTCACCCTTAGACATCCCCTCCCTTGCTCCCAGGTAGCCTCCTGGTTGGCTCCTCTGGCCTGACATTCCCGTGGCTCATATTCATTCACTTGCCTGTAGTCACAGCAGCTGGTGGCACTCAGGCCCATGAGTCACTGGGACCAGTGGTCCCTCTCCAGCTGCTGACACTTGCACCCCAGTACAGAGGCCCTCGCCTAGGAAAGGGGAAGACGTGGAGGTTAGTACACAGAGGTACTGACCAGCCAAAGGTTTATGTACAACTGGCCCTTGTTATAGTGTATTCTTCCCATATTTGTTCTTCCCAAATAATCTCAGTCCTTTCCTTTACTTGCTTTTGGTCCAAAAGATGTTTCAGAGGGCTGCCCCCATTGACCAGACACCAGAGCTGAGGCAGCCGTAGGACAGTCTTGGCAGGACCCCAAAAGGGGTTTCTGTTCCTCTGAACAGATTTGCATTCCACAATTCCCAAAAAGCCCAGTTCACATCCCCTGAGCTGCCTTTGGGCCACTGGGCTTGTGGAAATGGACCCTAGATGGGCTGGTAGCTTCTGGGATGGCCTGAGGGTAGCCATGGAAGGGTGTTATTCAGGTCCCCTCACCTGCCATTATATTTGTGCACTTCTGTCTGCAGAAGTGGGGGTCTTTGTTGTATCACCTACCAGGAACTTGATTTACTGATGAAAGAATTCAGATCTTTTATTTGCAATACCTTGAAAATTGGGGGTGTGTGGGTGGGGCTGCTTTTCACATTGAGGTGTTGTTTGGAGTGAGTCCGAGTACCTCCACAGTGCATGCTGTGCCATCCTACATCCCCTGTGCAGGAAGCTGGGAAAGGGCAGGTGGGGCACTTGGCACTGGTGAGCCAAACTTCTGGTCATTTTAGCTTCAAAAGGGGTCTCAGGAGTCTTACTCTGGGAGAATAAATAACTCCAGGACATTTCTTGATTAAGTAGGCTTACATGTGCTTTCCAGCAGCAAGTGCAGTTGTGTCCTTTACATGAAGTAGAAGTTTCTCCAGCACTCCTCTGGCTTTTGGCTGGAGCACATTCCAAGTGCTGCACTGTTGAGTCCTTGTGCAGAGTTTGGACACCTTCATATCTGTGTCCTGACTATTACAGGTATTTGTAGTGTCTGAAGGATGACAGGATTTGAGAAGCACATGGGTGGCATCCTCAAGCTTGTGTACTGTGAGGCTCTGTGCAGGGTCTCATCCAGCCAAATTGGAAATGATGTAATGTCAGAGCAATGTCAGGTGTTGAAGACTCTCCTGGCATCAGAGGTCATATGGTAGTTTTGGCTGCCTCAGCAAAGTGTCTACTATTGGCACTGAGCTGTTCCCTGCCCTTCTGGTTTGTCCACCTACACTTTAGTGGCTGCTTGTGGCATGGTGTTCCAGATCATGGGAGCTGAATGCCCTTCTCAATCTGTGTCATGGGAAGCAGTCACTCCCTCCAGTGCCACTGTCTCTGTTGAGGTCAGCACCAGGTGCCACTATCACTCACCTTTGTTACAGAGAAGGCAGTGTCCCTGTTTCACACTGTGAAATAATGTCAGGCTTGCTTGCCTCTATTCTCCTATCTGATATCCAGTTGGATCCCAAATGTCGTTTGGATGGGTGGCTGAAGCACCAGCTGAAGATGATTGTGTTTCTCAAAGTTCCTTGAGCATTATCAGAGTCTTGGTTTTAGTCCATTCTGACTTCCAAGATGATACATTTGTTCTGATTTGCTGCCTCCAGTGATGCAGTCTCTGGGTTTGGATGCCATGAGTAGTCTGAATTTTTCTTGTCACAGAACTCAAGGTGCTTTTGTTCTTTACTGTGCTGTAAGACATAGCTTGGCAATGCTTCCAGCCTTGCCATGAGCTGGAAGATGCATTTCTGTGCTGGGAAACCTGTTTATGGTGCCACTTGTTCAGTTTTATCTTTGGGAACTGCAGGTTTCTGTCACGGGCAGTCATTTTGCAGTGACGACATACACTTTCTTAGCCGAAGAAGTAACCACTCTATGGAAAGTGCTTCAGCAGGAGAGAGGCTGATGTAGGAACTGCTGCTTGTGCTCCTTCTCACTCACAAAGCTGATCAGAATGTATCTGATAGATAGCGATCTTGATAGAATCATCTCTCCCCAGCTTCTTGGAGCTTTGAGTGTTCTACAGTGAGAGCAGGGTTCTCCCTTTACTTATAAGACTTACATCTTCAGGTTACCAGCTTGGTTCCAGTATCTGGTCCAGTGAGATCTGCTGCATCTCTTGTGTTGTAAAAGGGCCGTGCTGCTTTCCTGGCTCAAATCATTCTTCCATGACTTTACCCCAGCAGTGCTGATCCTCGTCTGTCTTTCTATGATTGTTTGGTGATAGGAGATGAGCCTGGGCTCAGTCCCCTCTTCCTTCTCTGGCAGTGCTCCTGCTGGCCAGCTGCTCATCCAGCACTTCAAAGGTGATGCCAGTGCATTTGAGAGAGTACTTCCTGCCTCTCTTTTCCTTCTCTCTCAAGGACACTTCCAGGATTCTGCACCTGAAAGGACCTGGGAGAGTAGGATACTCACCACTGTTGTCGGCCATGAAAGCAAAGGACAAAGCAAATAGCTACAGCATATTGCAAAGGACACTGCCTGACCTTCAATGGCAAGGCAGAAGGCATCTGAGACTGGAAGGCTTGTGGTAATGTCTTAGTCATGGGTTTCTGGTACTGTGCTTTCCTTTATGAAGGGAAAAAAGTAGGTAGAAAGAAGAACTGATATAAGGAAATAAGCTGATAGGAAGGAAAATTGCTGAAAAAGTCTGGAGTACAGATGCAGTACAGAAGCTGTCACAACTGTCACAGTTCCTGGGCTCTGAATTGGTGATTTCCAGCATAAATGCCTTTTTATTAGCAACTATGCTTTTGATGCTTAATTTGTATCTCTTTTCCAAGATGAAAATCACTGCTTTTGAGACTGTGACTACTGCAGAAAAGCAGGTGGCTTTCCTGCTGCCTTTGGAATGGTATGTTGGGATAATCCTGCATGAGATGATTCAGGTTCTGCTGTCCTTGGTGAGGTTGTCTTGCATTCCCTCCATTCTAGATGTGAGGCTGCAGAGCAGAAGCAGAAGGTACCACTGGGAACTCTAAAAAAAGACTTGAAATCAAATGAGGAAAAGCAGAAACAACTGACAGAGAAAATCCGCCAGCAGCAGAAAAAGCTGGAAGCTCTGCAGGTGAGTCTGGAGGTCTTCAGCTAAGCAGAGCAGGTGTGATGGACTTCTCTGTGCAAAGGGCTGCTGCTGAGTCTGAAACCATCTATGGTCCTTCATAGGGCTGCGGCTGTTGTAACAATAAAAATTGATCATCTCATCTTGCATTTAATTTTCTGTTGGGAAAATGGAAATGACAGATGAAGGAATGTCTCTTGAAGAACACAAAACACACCATATAATTGTTGGGTTTAGCCTGGAAAACTGCTGGGATGGGTTCAGGCAGCCCCTGGCAGCTTGTAAACGTGAACTTTCTGATCTGTTTTTGTTGTTGTTGTTGTGTTTTGTTTGGTTTTGGGTTTTTGAGTTGTTGGTTGGTTGATTTTGTTTTTGGGGTTTTTTTTTTCTTTCTTTTAATTTTTCTTTTTTTGTTGTTGTTTTTTGTAGAAGACCACTCCAATTCTATCTCAGGCTGACTTAAAGAAACTACCTCTGGAAGTGACTACACGGCCTTCAAGGGAGGTAAATGGGATCCTGCTGTAGGCTTTTTACTCTTATGTGCTTCCTTAGCTGTTCTGAACAGCAGTTCCCCACCCTTCTACCCTTCCTCTCTCTCTACCCTCCTTTGTTTCAGCACACCCGAACTCAGCGCCCACGATCTCCTCCTTTGCCTGATGTAATCAAGAATGCTCCCAGCAGGCCACCAGGATCTTCACCTCCTCACAAGTCCTGCACTCAGCTGAAAAAAAGTTCTTCAGATCGTCCAAATACCAGCTCCCCCAAGCTAGCCAGCATGCTCTTCAAGGAGGAGGCCAGCACTTCCAGGACACACCATCACACTGTGACAGCTGGGAAGTCTAACAGCACTTTAAAAACTCTTGCCAAGCCAGGTGCAAGCATGAAGTCTCTCTCTGGCCAACAGAGCCCCAAAAGCTCACGTGAGACACCCAATCCAAAAGCAGCCAAGGTGCCAGCAGTAAGGAAATCTGCCTCTGGCAGATGTTTACAGGTAAGAATCAATGGGATGAAACCCCTCAGCTCCTCACCCACTGTCCTGTAAGCCTGTCTGTTCTGTATTGTGATATGTGCACTGTGGGCACTGCACAGGACAAGAGAACTTCTACTTTGCTCTTGGGTTAGGGTGCCATTTACACTCCTTGAGAAGACTGGTCTCATCTCTTTTCTATTAGACCAGATTGTTTCCCCAGGGAAAAAAAAAGTGCATGGAGTGGTGGGGTGAGTGTTTGCATGATGATATACCACCTCTAAAACCTTCCAGAAAAGCTCATTAACTACCAAATTAAATACTGAATGTTGGGTTTTTTTCTGGGGGGTTGGTTTTTATTTTTTTTTTTTAACTTGGCTGCAAGAAGGTTTTGGTTGGAAGCAGGCTGGAATTAATAGCTAGAGCTTGTTTGCTTCCTTCAGGCCTCCAACACTCGAAAGAGGGCCTTGAACATCACAGAGGATGGGTCTGAGGAGGAGGGTGAGCCCAAAAAGGAGAGGACAAAACGAGGAAAATTTTTGGCAGTGAAAGAAGAGAAGGATTCCAATGAGGTGGTGGTGGAGGTAAGAGTGTACTGGTGGAGGTAAGAGCGTGCTGGTTTCCCCAGCAGAAGATATTTGTCAGGTGTTTATAATCTTGATGGGAGGTGACTAATTTGGGCTCTCTCTGCTCCCAGCTCACAGACAGTGCTGGAGAGGAAGAGTTGTTGGAACTGAAGAAAGCACAGAAAGGTGAGAAATAAGCCCTTGGGCTACCAGTATCTGACATAAAAAAGAACTGTTGTACCAGTTAAATGTGTGCTTTCATTAATTAGATTTTAAAATAAAAAATAGTGTAGATTTGAATTCCAAACCCCAAGATTACTCTAACTTGCATGAAAAATTTTGGCTGAGAACCCTTTGATTAGACCAGTGGCAATTGTGGCATGGAAAGGTCTGTGATTGATGGTTATATCATGTCGTCAGCAGTGGGGCTGGGCTGCAGGGTGTAGCTGATGGCATGTTCACCTATCCTGAGTGGATCATGCAGCCATGCCAGCTGGAAAATGCTCAGAACTCTATCCAGATCTGCACTGCTGTGAGAAAAGAGTGACTGGGAGACCCCAGGAAAGGTGATAGCTGGGATGGTACTGCACCATCTGCCAGAGCAGGGCATCTTTTCAGCATGCTTCCAGGGAGCTGTCTGGAAAGTGGCCCACTAGGGACACGTGGCAAATTGTCCTAGAGCCCATCATGAGACTATAAAGCCAATGTCAAACAGCTTGGAGTACAGGAGAAACCTTCCATCTGGAATTGCCAGCTCATTTCCATGCATCTTCATGTTTCTCAGCAGGAGCTGACCTGTGTGCCCATTGTGTTTTGATGGTGTCTGTACTGCTTGAGGGCATTGTCACAGATTCAGGTGTGCTCCCTGCTGAGGTGCCTGAATCTCTAGAGCCCCTGTAGAATGTGCTTTCCAGCAGCTGAATGTTTACAAACACCTTTGCTTCCCCCTCACAGATAAGGGGCTGCACGTGGAAGTGCGTGTGAACAAGGAATGGTTCACAGGCCGTGTCACAGCTGTGGAAAGGATCAGGCATGCAATCCGGTGGAAGGTGAAGTTTGATTATGTCCCTACAGACACCACACCAAGGGATCGCTGGTAACTATCTAGAGCTACTGAATTTTGGAGGCTTGGGGTTTTTTTTGGGAGGAAGGGCCTGTTTTATTGCCATAGATCCTGAAGACAAATATGCTGTTGTCATGTCAGGAAACATGTGAGGTCAAGACTGTCCAGGGCTACATAAGGAATGGGCATGACAGACTCCATCAGTCTGTCACTCTGATGCCTGCCCTGGAGGCAGCTGTTGTGTGTGTAGAGGTCTGTTTGACACTTGGGTGCAGGTTCTGATGAAACCGTTAACCATGTTTCAGGTATGTCCAATGTAAAAAAAGATTCCTGACATTCCCTTAATACTTTTTCTCAGGGTAGAGAAGGGCAGTGAGGATGTAAGGCTTATGAAGCCTCCCTCTCCTGAGTACCAGGCTCCAGACACACAGCAGGAAGAGGAGGTGGTCATGGCTGAACCTTCTACCTCGGATTGCATCAGAATCGAGCCTGACACCACTGGTCCCAGCAGCAGCCAAGAAACAGTTGACTTACTAGTCCAGATCCTTCGGTGGGTTCACTGCAGATCTTGTGAGCTCTGCAGTCTGATTGCTTCAGTCTGTTAAACTCCCAGCTCTGGCTTTGCATTTTGTTTTCCTGCACAGGAATTGTTTGCGATACTTCTTGCCTCCAAGTTTTCCAATCTCCAAGAATGAGCTGAGTTCCATGAGCTCAGAAGGGTTGTTGGCATTTCCCTTGGTGAGTTCAGTACTTCTAGAAAAGTAAGTTTATGTATTTTCCCCACACATATTCCATTCTTATGGCAAATGTGCATCTTGCTAATGCAGGCGTGCACTCTTGAAAAAATAATTTGGATCCTTGGCAGACTAACATAGCTGAGGAAAAGAATGAGAGCTCTGAGAGATGCCTTGAGTCTTGTAAGAGTTGTCTGAGGATTTTTTTAATTACCATGCATATGTGTGGGAATGCTGTTGGCTGCTACTATCTTCAATTCTTAACCATTGCTATTAAACTTCTAAAAAAGAGAGACCAGATTACAGGTTTGTAGAAGCAAGAGGTAGACATATCTGCTTGTTTTGCTCCCAGCCTTATAACTTATCTGGAGACAATCTTAAAAATTATAAATAATAACAAATAATTATCCCCAGATTCACAGAATATTCTGAATTGGAAGGAAGCCACAAGGATCATTGAGTCCAACTCTTAGGTAAATGGCCCATACAGGGTTTGAGCCCACATTAGTGTGGATTCAATCCACTTTATATTTACTTTAGTGTGAGAGAACATTGAAGTAAACCCCTTCCCACTTCCCTAGGAGAACAGGTTGACTGCTAGCAAGTCAGCTGCACACCATAAGACTTTTGACTTCTGTTTATTAGAGGACAGGTGGGACTGAGCTTCCACCAGCAGCCTGGTACTGGGGAGGAATGTTACCTGGTACCAGTGCTGGCTGCAATGCAGGGCAAGGGAACTGGCCTCTCTTACTTTTTCCTTCTCCAACATACCACCAAGAGAGACCTTTCCAAGGAGGCACATGTAAAAAGCCACCTGAAGATGAGCACATGACCAAAGCTTGTTCTGTTTTGCACTTCCAGACTCAAAGTGTGGGTATTGGCAGTCTCGTCTCCTCCCCTTCTCTTAACTCAGGCATCTGCTGGAGTTACTATTCCTGCTTCTTCTATAGGACACCTTGGTTGTGTCTGGGGCTTTTGGTTAGTGTAGCTGTCCCTACCTTGCAGTGGGAGGCTATGATGTCTGGGTGATCTGTACCAAGGATACTTACAATTTACAGGGGATGTCAGGCCTGCAGCATACCTGTGGGTTCATGCTTTTTAAAGTACACTGCACCCTTAATCTAAATTCAAGCAGCTTTGGGGGAAGTTCTGGTATTGGAAGAATGTGAAAAGCTGTGTGAATTCTGTGCTGGCTGCTGTAGGCAAATCAGATGTAAATACGAGCATGGGCAGAGTGTGCAGGGGCACACTTCAGGGAGGATTTGATCATGGGGGCCAGGGGTTTGGATCTTCTACAGCCTGTGAATGCTCATGTTTTTGTTGATGCTTGATGCTTTCTCTTAATGTGACATCTTGTGTTTTGCCTACTACAGAAAGAATATTTTAAGCAGTATGAGGTGGGTCTGCAGAACCTGTGCAATTCATATCAGACACGTGCCGATGCCCGGGCCAAAGCCTCTGAGGAAAACCTCCGGAACTTAGAAAGGAAGCTGAGGGAAACAGAGGAGAAACTGCAGAAGTTGAGGACTAATATCATGGCCCTTCTGCAGAAAGTGCAGGAGGTGGGTGAGGAGTAGCAGCAAACCCTGAGCTGTCTCAGAGTAGCCACCTAGCTCATCCCCTCCAAGCATTACAAGTGTTTCACTCCAGTGTCTCACTGGGCTCCAACTTCCTCAGATTGGAACAGCTTGGCTGTCACTGCCCACACTTGGGATCCAGGCCCTAAGAGTCTGATGTGTGTTAATTCTCACATGAGAATGATTTCTCATGGTGTTTATGTTATGCACAGATTCTGTTTGTTCTCTACCGTGAGGCTGCTTGAGAATTTCCCCAGGCATAGGCAGTGCTCATCAGGGAGTTTTTGCCACATTCCTGTGCAGATTCTGAACTCCACATATAGAAACACAAGCCTTTAAACAAACAACATGAAAAAGTGTTGAAAGTGTTGTGGTGAAATGGATATATTAGTTATACGATTAAATTAAAATAGAAAATATATAATTAAAACATTTAAATAAATAAACTCTAAACTAAAAAACTTCTTTAATAAAATCAGGATCAACCTGGAAAGGCTACTGAAAGCATCTGAAAGCACTTTCACCCTGTTAGGAAAATGTGTTAAATCTTAAAGAACCCCAACCAAATCTGCCTTGACCAAAATCAGTACAGTAAATCCATCACTTGAGTGTGTTGTTTGAGCATCAGGTGCTGGTGGGTTTCCTGTGTTGTCTTTCAGATGCTGACAGGGAAAGCTAGGGGTGCTGTCACTGCAAGCTGTCAGCAGCTGGAGGGTGCTGGAGGTTGGAGCATAGAGGTTGAGCAGGCCAGATGTAACAGAGGGTGCTAAGCTGCTCTGGCTCCTCTTTTCTTGTGCTGTTCCTCAGTATTCACTTCTCACTGGTATTCCTTGTTGCTTTGGTTTCAGGACATTGATATTAATACAGATGATGAACTGGATGCATATATTGAGGACTTGATCATGAAAGGTGACTGAGCATCTCCAGCACAAGTCGTGGAGAAGTGCAGAAGAGCTGGCTGCTGTAAAGGGAGATGTGGATCTCTGTGCAGGTGGACTGAGGCAGCTGATGAGGAGAGAGTTTTTTAGACAGTGCTCATGTTGGTGTACAACTTGTTCCTGTGACTGTACATGAGAAACATTTGTGCTGTTGGCAGGAAAATTTTTAACTTTGTAGTTCTCTGAATCTCTTCCTTTTGTTTATAAATATTTATTTTTAAAAGAAATGGGAACTGTGCCTGTTACAATGGCTGTTTTTGTGATGTAGAAATGTGACTACCGCTTTTGCAACTCAAGTGTATTCATATGCTAAACCTGGGAGCTCGGAGCACCCTGCTTAGCTTACTGGTTCTCCAGCAAGAACCTGGCAGTAATTAAAAAATAATTTTAAGCCTTGAGTTGTGGCAGAGGGGATTAGGCTTTTTTTGTGGAAGATACTGAACTTGAGGTAGAGAAAGCCAAGCCATGAATTAGAGCTATAGAAAGGAGATGTCCTTGAATGAGTGTGAGTAGAGGGGATGGAACGTTGATGGAACTCGGAAATTTGGCACTGGCACCTGCAGTGAGCTTCCTGGACAGGAGGTTGCTGCAAGTGGGCGAAACTGCCACTGTGGTAATAGCCAAGAGGCTGAGGTCCTTCTAGAAGAGGATCACCCCTGGACTGCTCACAGTGGGCTGTGAGCATCAGAGGAAGAATGCTGGCGTTCGGGTTCTCTGCTTGCAGTCACTTTATCGCTCACTTCTGCTGCTGTTTCTTTGAGACATAATTACAGCATCAGAAGAACTCCTCATCCACCTGACAATAAAGTGACCCCTGTTCTATTTTCACTCCCTCAGTTTTGTGTTGCTTTGCTCAATTTGCTCTACCAGGTAATTTTATTATTAGAGATTTCTAATTATTAGAAGAGGCTATTTGGAGCCTTCAGAGCCCTACACCACTGATTGGCATCTGGCTCTGTGCCTGCAGCAAGGAAAATACCTCTCCCTTATCCTTCAGCTGCAGCCAACTCCTGGTGAGCCACTTGTGGCCAAGGGGACTTGGTCAGAGTTTGTCAGCTGGCCAGCAGCTTTGCAGGCCTGCTAGGACAGTGTCTGTGGACTCATGTTCGGAAACTGGAGTCCCCTGCAAGCCAGATGGTTGTAAACATGGTGTAAAGCAAGAGGTACCCACTATCAGGGATGTCAGGTGGAATGGACCCTGGGGATTGACACCTGGATGTGTAATAGACGTCTTGCAGCAAACCCTTCTAAATTAAATATCTGTTGCACCAAAAATCTTTGCTACTAATTGTTTATAGTCCTGAAGAACTCCCAAGTTTCTACACACCACAGAAGAGGGAGAAGGCTTTTGCTTATTACCTGAATTCCAGGTGCTTATCACAGCACATGGTGAGACTGCTTCCATCCAGAATTTGGGCCTGACATCCCACAATAAATAAAGGTAAGGAGTATTCCCCTCTTCTCATACACCCTCCTGCACAAAGGGGCAGCATTCCTTAAGCAAAGAAACAGGCTCCACCAGTCTCCATTTCCTCACACATACTGGAGATTTATTAGTTGTGATGATACACTGCAGTTTCTGATGAAAATAATCCAGAGAAGATGCATTTTTTATTAAGATGAAAGAAGTCTCTGTCCTTCCCAGGAGACAGCAGACATTCTAAAGAAGGAGATTTTGTTATATTGCAGTTCAGAGCTGTTGCTGCACACAGCCTTTAATTTCTGACACCCAGAGGGCGCCAGGATGGGGCTAATAGTTCTCGAGCTTCCTGGCACAGTTTGATTTCCTACTTCTCCCATGTTAGGAAAGTGCAGTTGTTTTGAGGTTTGGTCTTTTTCCCCTCTTTTCTGTGGAACTTCTCATTTCCAATTTTAACTCTTGTTTTTTAATGCATTTAATTTTTTTGATCTTCTACCAAGGTTTTTTGCTAGGAAGAGAAAGCCAAGAACTTTGGTGCCAGTATAATAGATTTTTCATTCTTAAACCCTTTTGGACAATGCTCTGCAGCTGCTTTTTTCTTTTTCTTGATTTTGTTTCTGTAAATTTTTTAAGCAAGTCTCTGTGTAACATCCGGTTTTAGTAACACCTCTAAAACCCATAGGCTCAGAATGCCTCCAGAGGGAATCCAAACTCCTGGCTCCATGTGGGGTATACTCCACAGCTTTATCAAGTGGTTCAGGGCATTTTCCTGTTGAGCTCTTAAAATCAAGGGTAGAGACTAACCCACAGCTCTGCACCACACACCACTCCTATGGGTGTTCTTCCCTGGTATCACACACAGATGTCCCTATCACATCTTGAAGGTCGTTCCAGCTGCCATCAAAAACCTGTCCCCTGCCTGTAACCCTGTCACGACACCTCCCTCCTGCATTTAAGCCTCTTGATGCCTCAGATGTTCCCCTAAGTCTTCCTCTTCATTTCAGCTGTTTCTTACAGCAGAAATACTAAGGGCATGAGTTTAATTTTGCACGACATTCCCCTCCCCCTCTCTATGGCCAGCTTAATCCCTTGTTTATACATTCCATAGTTGAAATTTCTTCCAGAGCTGTCAGCTGGATACTTCATGCCAGCTTACTTCTTGTGGGGAGGTTGCATTTTTCCTTCAAGCTCTCTGCCACATTCCCTTTGCATCTGCTTCTGAGAGCAGCAGGAACAGCAGATGGCTGACGTTCTTGCCTGCAGGAAAGTAAAGATGAGGGTCACTCATGAGAGAAACCAGGGGAATCTGGGAAATTTGCCAATTCTTGATAGTTGCTGTGGACTAAAATGCTGTGGAAATGGAGGATGTCCTGGCATGCACAGCTCTGCAGAGGTGTAAAGTAACACTGATCTTTTTTGGATGGAGAACGCTGACGGGTGTGCGTGTTCATTGCCCCTAAGAGTTCCTCAGTGCCCAGAGTTGCTTCTTAGCAAGGAAATGAGGAGGAACTGTGTGGTTCCTGTCCTTTTGGAGCACTTCTTGAAGCACTTTTTGTGTCTCAACCAGAGCTTTCACCTTGTCTTGGTTTGAAAAGTAGGTGTCTGCCTTGGTGTCTGCCAAGGAAGGCAGGAACATCCCTTGGAATGGAGACTATAACCCCCTTCCCTAGGAATTATTTTAACTTTGAAATTAAGGTGCTTTTGGGCAAAGATTTGGGAAAAGGAATAGCAGCTCTTTCCTAGAATGCATACCAAGGCAAACAGACAACAACTGCGACATTACCAACACCCAGAGCCAGAGACTCAGTCCCAGCCATTTCCCCTCAGGTGCAGTTCCGGGCACAGCCGGCAGGGGCGCTGCTGGTTCCGGGCAGGGCAGGGGCGATGATTCCCCCGCGCCCGCAGGGGGCGCTGTGGCGCGGGCTCGGTCATTTCTCTCACGTAATGGTGGACATGCTGGTGGAAGGGTTGGGAAAAGGGCTTGCTCCACAAACCTCCAGGGGCAGCCAATCCCAGTGCCTCATCAGGAACCTTGGAAGTGGCAAGCTGAAACGGCAGGAACGAGCTTACCTGAGATAGCAAGCAAGAGTCAGCTGTTGCAGGAGCTGCGGTTTGTCCTGACAGGCAGGCAGTGTGGGGTTACAGTCTTGCAAAAAACCCCTGGAGCAGTAGCAGAGGCACAGCAGGAGCTGAGCAGCAGCAGACTGGCTCCCAAACTGGGCCCAGAGAGGCTCCCTTGGAGAGGGAAGGGGCTGAGGGATCCCGGCGTTTCCCCTGAGGCACCTCAGCAGATGGTGAAGGATCCTGTATTTGCTGAGGAAGGGTGCTAAAAATAAGGTCTCAGTGCAACAGCTGCTCTTACAAGCAGAGCTCCACTCACGGTAGGATGCAGCAGGAGACTGAGCACCGTGCTGGTCACAAATTCTTCCCACAGTGACCGAAGCCTCTTTCCCCTCCGAAAGCTGAGAGAGCAAGAGAGGTAGGAGCTGCACCCAAACCCATTTTCCCCAGCCCAGTTTTCTCGGTATCTCTGGCCCTCTGAGAGAAACGCTCTTGGAGTAGAGGGTAAGAGAAATGCAGCTAGGTGCCCTCCCCCTCAAGCTTGGCAACTTCTTTGGTCTCTCTTAAGTACCAATCATATTTTCTTAGAGACAGATGGGACAAAATTCCATTATAGAAAGAAACAAAAGGAAAAAATACTAAACCCAAACACTCCCCCATTAAAGACGCAAGCAATTGCCGTCACACAGAGCAGCTCCTGTGAGTACTGGTCTCAGTTTGGACACAAATTCTGGGAGAAAAATGCTCTAAAATTACTGTTTTTCTCCAAAGAGAGGGCTTCAATTGATACGTGGAGAGAGACTCTAAAACTCAAAGACAAAATGAATTTTAAAGTAGGTATGTTTTTATTTGGCCAGATGCATGGGGATATTGCTACAAAGACATGCGTACTCCTTGTACAGACACAGTTTTCTTTTATCCCCTTGAACGTTACACATGCATCATGTTTCAGAATAGATTATTTCCTGGCTCCCCTCCCTCTCTACTTTGTATGCTAATCATATCTGTCCTTTGCTGGTGTGCAGTTGTCTCTGGTGGTCGTCTTGGGGTCTCAGGGGTCATAAGGGATGAAGTAAAGTTGTCTTCCTCAGGACTGACTTCTTGACCTGCTGCCTTGCACATGCTTACTGATCTTTTGGCCACTGTTCAAGCCTGGCCAAATCTGAGTCCAGATTCATCTGATTTCAGGGGCTCAAGGAGCCTTGTTATCTCAGTATCCTTGCATACTGTATCCTGTTCTTGATAGACATCCTTCTCCTAATCAGGCATCCTTACATTCTTTCTTGCTGTTTTGCACATATTCCTTTCCTGTATTCCTTTTCTTTCTCACACAAATGACATTGCTTAAGGATGCAGCAAATATTAAGCAATGTCCACCATCTATGTCCCTATTCTTAATGAATACCTTCTAATTTCTGTGATTAATATATATCCTCTAGTTTCTGACTCCATGCTTCAGTCCCCCCTTTTTAATAAAGTAGTAAATTCTTTTACTTAGTATGTTATGAATAAGAAGCTTGACTAGGCCAATATTCAAGCAGCAATCAATTTATTATTAATATGGTAAAGTATGAGCAATACAGCACTGGGTACAGTGGGGGAGGTTTTCCCTCCAACTGCACACCGATAATTGATGGTTACAGGTATTTATAGGGGTACTCATCAGTTTTTTCAACAGTTTCTATTTCCAAATTATTACATCACAATTCTATACACTATTGTGATTTTAATTTCTCAGAATGTATTTTCAAAGGAGTATCCCCAGATGGTGATGGTCCAGTTTCTGAAAGAAGAAAGATGAATCCCATCTGGTGGAGTCCAGCTCCCCAGATGTGTCCACCTTTTAATTGCAGAGACTATAAATCTCATAACAATGATGTCTAGCTTCCCTTTGGTCAAAACCATAAATCCTTGATTGGATTGGTTCATCTTCCTTTCTCAAACTGTTTTTCACTGCTTCGATAAGGCGTGAGATAAGCATATTTCCTATATATATTCTAAAGCTATAGTTTCAAGGATACAAGTAATATTCTAAAATTATACTTCAAAAGGTTATTATTGCAGAGCTTTTTATGGATTAAATGCAAGCAAAAAGCAACAACCTTAACACTTTAATTCCAATGCTCCTAAATCAACCAGGGTTAATTGCAAACAAAATATAGGTTCAAAGGCCTTTTTCCATGCTTTATTTTCATCAGTTATTATTAGAATTCACAACTATCCCATTGTCGATGTCCGCACATTTCGCATTCACAAGTACACACTTCGCTTGTTTGTACCTGACGCGAAACACAGCTTTGCATCTCACAAGTATAAATTCCAATCCTCATGGTATGTGTCTTCTAAT